TACAATGAGCGTGTTGTATTTTGCGGTGTCAGTTTAGTAGTCATGCAATATTCCTTCAGGGAATTATGCGCCTGTGGTAATCAATAGTGAGTTTACTATGACCTGATTGTACTGATGACATGCAGCAGTGGTCTGTCTCCCTTTCTACCCCTGACTCTCTGGGGGAGACCCCTGCTAGAGTAGGGGAAAGGACACAGAAATAGCAATATCCTCCAACAAGGATCATATGTGACACAGGATGCCATTTTCTGGAGTGTCTGCACTTGTCCCACTGCACTGGACCGCCTGTAAACACACGCGCGCACACACACACACACACACACACACACATAAAGTTGTCCACTCACTGTAAACCCTCACTCACTCGCTTACTCATCCTCTGCAGCCTTTCCACAAACACACAGACACACAGAGCACACTTCTCTCTCTGTCTCTCTCTCTCTCTCACACGCACACACACACAGACACACACACTCAAATGAGGGGGAAACCATCATGGGGATATTAATGGAGCCAGAGACACAGACGGAGTCAATTGAGCTTTTAATAGAGCAGCTCCTTTTCCTCTGTATGGATAAATAATACAGCAGTCAGCAAATCTAGATCTAATAGATGATATTGACCTTTGGGGGTGGGGAAGGGGAGGAAGAGAGTGAGCGACGGGACAGCACAATCGGAATTGGAGAGAGAGACATAGGGGAGAAAGTAGAGAGCCGGGAGAGTTGCGACGCAGAGGAATACACACAAGTGTCAATAGGAGCGGGGCGCTCAGACAAAGCATCTTAATCAGAGTGCGACAAAGCGGTGATCAATCACGAGGATGACGATGTGGTTGCAGAGCCGGAGAGGCCCTGACCCGAGCTGCACTGCAGATAGAGCTGGCCAGGCAGCGCTGGCCCTCAGAGACTCTCTTTCTCTGCTTTTATCATCTCTCTTTGTCTTTCCTCTTTCTCTCTGTCCCTCCTTCCTGACTGCATTGTGTCTTCCTTCCCTCCTCTATCTCTCAGTATCTCCCTCTTTCCATTTTCATTACTCTCTGCCACTTCATCTCTCTGCCTCCTCCCTCCCTCCCTCCCTTCCTTTCTCCCTATATTTCTGTCTGGTACCCACCATCTGTCATCCGTTGTCTTCCTCTGTCAGCCCCCACCACCCACCCCCCCACTCATTTTCACTCCCTCAATCCAATTCAAGGAGCTTTATTGGCATCATAAGATGAATTTTACTGTCTCTGCGACTCTCTTTCTGGAACATTTGTCTTCCTCTTACTAATTCCACACTTTTGATGCTACTCCACAAACTCTGCAGCGTCCTGTGCAGGCTCTAGGCTACAAGTAATGGTCAGTGTACAGTGAGTCCAGTACACCCTATCATATCAATATTGAATTCAAGGCCATGTATTCTTTATTACCTTGTTCATGAACAAGCAGGCTGAGACTGAAAGCTACTCATCCCAGGCTTGTTTACAAGCACAGTGGAGGCAAGAGTGTTGGGGTATAAGGGACAGCCAGCCTAATAAAATGACTGAAAAGTATCCATACAGTGTGAGATGGCCTTGAAAGTGACTTTTATGTGTATAGTGACACCGTGTGGAAATGCCCTGTAACAGATTAAAACATCAGCATGCTGAGGTATGATGCCCATGCAGCAGGAACTACAACTGGAAAGCTCTCGTGCAAAATAATATTTTTAAATAGATCCAAAATATGGATTTAATCCACTTTTCGCAAAACAGATTGTTCAAAAGGAAAACATATGTGCACATGCACAATTCCATACATTGTGACCACACATATAAACATATGGTTGAGTCTCGTTTGATGTTTGCAGACCATATTCAAGCGTCTCCATGGTTAATTTCACTTTATTGTGTATTGGAATTACAGAAACGGAGCGATCTGCATGTCTGCTGTGGATTAAGTGGCCTAGTTGATCCCAGAAGGAGATCCATAGACCACCAGGGGTCCCTGAGAGTGTCCCAGTGGGACCCCAGCACATAAAGAAATAACTTCATTAACTATAATTTAACGTTTTAATATTATTCTAGTTCAGTATCATTCACATTTTGTTCAGATATGTGTTGACGGATGGTAGAACTGTGCTCAGCATCACACATTCTCTCAGATGTTCTTGCTTGAGGCATGATCATATCAAATGAGGGTCAGATAGGAGTCATCCTATTTGTAACTATAGACCTGAACTTAGAGTGAGTTATCTGGAAGAATGTCTCGCAGACTTTCTAGTAATTTTCCAAGAGAGAAGTCAGCACTTTGACAGGGAGACTTCTCTCTGTATCCAGGAAGTGACGGTGAGGACTTTAATGGGGTCGAAACAAGCCGAGGGAGGTCGTCCCGTCTCTACAAAAGAAGTTGGGTGGAAGAGGAGCTCCATCATGCTAGCCAGAAACAGATGGAGGTGCACAGGAAGCTGGAGGATTGGGCCTTCACAATAAGAGCATACAAAGTGGGCAGTGGGAAAACATATGCATTATGTAAGTTATTAGCCACTAAATTCCTTCCTGCATTCATATGTTTGTCTTCGCAATGTTGAGCAAATGCATAAGATCTGATTATAACTAACGTTATCGCTCATGACTGTGGGCCCTAGCCTCAAATGGAAAGTCATAACTAGATACTTTGGACAACTGCTGGAGGAAATCTGGACCACAAATTGGAAACCACACTCATATATTTTGGTCATGTCCAGTGTTAAGTAATTTCTGGAAGGATGCTTTAGACGCCCAGAAAGAAGTGTTTCACCAAGCCATCCCCAGAAATCCAAAGGTGGTCTTCCTCGTGCAATTCCTGAAGGCTTTGAGGAGAGAGCCAAATCTACTTGTTACAAATACTCTCAAAGGCTGCTATTAAATGTATCACAATAAGATGGTTGAAACCCAAAGCTCCAACATGCATTAAAAAAATATGGGAATTGTATGAGATGGAACAAATCACATATGTGATTAGATCGCAAAGACCTACATTTATAAAGTTGGTACTAAATCTCGGTAGATGTCAAGGCAGCTGGAAATTCTGTAAATGATGGAAAGTGAAATGATCCCCAAACTGTATTGCACAATGGAGTATAAGGGCCATACAAAGAGAGAATATTTTTTTTTTTTGTGGAAATTATGAGAATAAAGTCATAACATTACTTGAATAAAGTCATAAAAAAAAAAAGTTTATTATAAGAAAAAAGTTTTATTTTAAGAGAAAAAAGTTTTAATATTACAAGAATAAAGTCATAACATTACTTGAATAAAGTCATAACATTACGAGAATAAAGTCATAATATTACGAGAATAAAGTCGTAATATTACGAGAATAAAGTCATAACATTACTTGAATAAAGTCATAACATTACTTGAATAAAGTCATAATATTACGAGAATAAAGTCATAATATTACGAGAATAAAGTCGTAATATTACGAGAATAAAGTCGTAACATTACGAGAATAAAGTCATAATATTGCGAGAAAAAAGTCATAATATTAGGTCTACGAGAATAAAGTCATAATATTACGAAAATAAAGTCATAATATGAGGTCTAGGAGAATAAAGTCATAATATTACGAAAATAAAGTCATAATATGAGGTCTAGGAGAATAAAGTCATAATATTAGGTCTACGAGAATAAAGTCGTAACATTACGAGAATAAAGTCATAATATTGCGAGAATAAAGTCATAATATCATTAAGTTATCAAGATCTGAGTGAGCAGCTCAACCAAACAGCAGCCTCAGCCTGAGCCCAGCAGCCGCTGTTTGTCTCAGTTGTACCGTACAGTCAACAGGTAAACTAACGTATTGATAATTTCGTCGTTAAACAGTTTTGCTGGCTGAGCCAACAGGCTGACAGTACTCATAAAATTAAGACTTTATTCTCATACTGTTGCGACTTTATTCTTGCAATATTATGACTTTATTCTCGTAATTCCCCCAAAAAAAAAAAAAGTAGGTTTAAAAAATAAAAAATGCATTATAATATTACTAGGTATCATGCCATTTAAAGTGCTTAAAATCTGCATATTCCTAAACAAATGTTAAATGAGCTTGCGCAAAACAGTAGTAGTACACAGTAGTACTGGACTTTTTGTGGGGCCCTGAAGTTCTGGGGCCTCCAGGCAGTGGACCTGTTGGTGCAGCAGGTAATACAGCCATTGCAATGCTAGATGTTACTTTTTTTAAGCTTGATAGATAACACATACAGCATGGGAATGCTGGACCTCAATATTCCTCACTATTATGACTTTCCATTTTAAGTATCTTCAGTTATATTACTTATTTGTCTGACATTTGTACATAGACATAGTAATATATAACAACATACATACATACATAGACATAGTTATATATAACAACATACATACATACATAGACACAGTTATATATAACAACATACATACATACATAGACATAGTTATATATAACAACATACATACATACATACATACATACATAGACACAGTTATATATAACAACATACATACATACATATACATAGTTATATATAACAACATACATACATACATACATAGACACAGTTATATAAAACAACATACATACATACATAGACATAGTAATATATAACAACATACATACATACATAGACACAGTTACATATAACAACATACATACATACATAGACACAGTTATATATAACAACATACATACATACATAGACACAGTTATATATAACAACATACATACATACATAGACACAGTTATATATAACAACATACATACATACATAGACACAGTTATATATAACAACATATATACATACATACATACATACATACATACATACATAGACATAGTTATATATAACAAAAAAAAACACAGCTCAAACAAGCTAAAATATATAAAGTGTCACATTCACACCTCAAGGGTTTGGTTTACTTTCTCCTTAAAAAAAACATTTAGTTTCACATAAAATGCAGCGCAGAACAGCGTTTTATTTTGAAAACGTCAACCGGAACACCTGTGAACACTGTGTGTCTTCTCGCGGCTCTCTGGCTGTGGGAAGGTGGTCCTGGTCGAAAAACACCGCACAGAAAAACAACCGACGGGGCAACTTTGCGTGTTTTTGTAGAGTCCCTTCATCTTCTAAACAGACCATAAAAGTGCGGAATTGAGCCAAAATGTTGCTGACAAAGGAAGTGATGGATTTGACCTGTTTGTCATCGGGAATAAAGTTGGGAAACTCCGAGGTGAAAATGGAGAGCCCAGCTGAGTGAGAGTGGGGTGAGGAGGCTGGATTTGGCAGAAGTTGGGAGTCCTGCCCTGCTGCTAGCAGGCTAGTTAGCATGCTTAAACACTCCGCTATCTCGGATAAGTAATGAGGTGAGGTTGAGTTTTACTCTTGTAATGTCGGCTTATTTGTGGAGGTTTTTACAGACTGTTCAGGTGTTTGCAAGAAAAATAACGGTCAAATGTGTTTTTGGCTGAAGAAAAAACATTGACAACTTCAGGCCTGGTCTTTTTTTTTTTCATTTTCTTTAAAGTTAACTAAACTTTAATGCAGTTGTAAAATTCAGATATAACTGTACTGCGGTCCGAGCGGACTTGAACTGTGTTTTAAAGGGTTGGTTCCAGTTCATTTCCCCTTGCTATACGTGAATAAGTAAAGTAAGTTGACAAACATTTTGTACTGAGAATTTCTAACAATATATGAAGCAGACTTCCAACATTTCAGACTCGGATAAGAGTGACCATCTGTGATAGTGCAGCTATTTCTCCCAATGGCAGAGCTACCACTTGTTTTCTTGGCCATTTCAGTGTGTGGATAGCTGTAATCAGAGTTTGGCTGAAAGTTTCACAATATGGCCTCATCACGCAACTTCCATACCAAAAAAATGGTGTGTCACTTCAGTGCTCAAATGATCAATGTGTTTGGGTCCGTTTCTGCCAATCACTGACATTCCTGAAAGCTGCCCCTGTCCTGTCTGCATTCAGCGTATACTCAGTATGACACAGTCCCTGTATGTTTGCTGAGCCTAACCATAATCAGTCAGGATTCATATTTCATTTTATGTTCTGCATTTCAGAGCTTCCCTCCGCTGTCCTCCAGCCTGTGATTCTCCAGGGGAGCTGCTTTATCTGACCGCTGCTGACAATGCAGCTTCTCCCAATGGATCCAAGCAAAGCTGATGATCTGATTTTCTGTGGATGTTCTGCCTGAATCTTTCTGCGTTTCTGCAAAAGGACAACCACATTTAAACCTGTTTTTTTAAGAGCCCCTCTCCCTCCCCAGCCCCATCACTAATTTTCGTACTGTGTGCATCCATACTAACCGATTGTATCTCAGACATTCATCATATTACGCCATCAGAGATGGGGCCCTGGTAGGTTCTTCAAGGGGCTTGAGGTGCCCCCCTGCCTGCCGACTGTGCAGCCTGGCTGCGTGTGTGAGACCCACCGGCACGGGCCCCCCCTTAAAATCTTGTAACAAGAAGCAAACCAGCAATACAGCACTTGCTGATGGAGCCGAGACACACAAAGTGCTTGTCCAAAATATATTCATGAACTCTTGAACTTTTTAAACTGGACTTAAGTGGATGTATCGGGTGTAATCATGAACTCTGACTGCTGATGCCAGCTCATCGGGGCCTGAGTGGGTGTAATCAGCTTTATTCATGAACCCTCTTGTCTGAGCCTGGGTAAAGCCTGGATGTTGGATGCCCTGAGTGTGTTGAATCAGCTGTTGCGGTGATGAGGCAGGGCTCCTGGTGGCCTGTGAGGCTGACGGGGCAGTGGCCCAAGGTGATGTGATGGGGTGCAGGAACAGTAAGGTCCTCCCTGAGCCTCCAGGGGATGTTCAGTTGGACCTGGTCAAAAAGGTCAGTAGCACAATGTTGTTATTAGCAATGCTAATAATATTGTTACCACCATAGATGCTGCTACTATCCATAACAGCAGCAGTCATTACTGCTATGTACACTGCTGCCAGTATTAACTTAGGGCTGTGATTAACGATTATATAACGATATTTCTATTTCGATATACTCCCAATTAGGTACATATAGTCAACATATACTCTTACACACCTTACAGTGTGTAAGGTTTAAGGATTTATTGGCAATAACTAAATATAATATTCACAGGGTTTGTTTTTGCTCCCTTGGAATGGAACGTTTATATCTACAGATCTTGCGGGAGGGTGAAGTGAGAGAGTTAAGATCTGCAATTACACCACTAGATGTTACTAAATTCTACACATTGGACCTTTAATCGTCAGAAAAGAACTTTTAAAAATGTCCCAATTTCCCAAAGCCCAATGCGAAATCCTCAAATGTATCTATTGTCCAACCAACAGTCCTCAGTTATTCAGTGTACAGTGATATAACCCAAAGAAAAAAGAAGAAAAGCAAATCATTAAGTTTGATAAGCTGGAAAAGCATTTTGTTTATTAAATGACTTAACAGTCCCTCCAGGACTTTGCAGGCTTTTTTGGGGATTGTTGTTTTAAAGTAGCTTTTATAAAATTGTGATGGAATGATTTTAGGCTTACATTTTTCTTTGATTGCACAAGAAAGTGAAAATGGAAAATTAAAAATCGAAGGCAATTTGTTCCAGTGAGAATGAACTTGTTAGTAGTTTGGGGACCTTGGGCTCAACATTTTGTGCGGGGGACTGCAATGATTGGTGAGACTCGCAGTAAACTACAATGATTGTGGAAAGAATTTGGGTGATTGGACAAAATTGGAAAGTTACGCACAATTCCCGGGAATCAGTTGAATTTGTGTTAATTGTTGTGATCACAACATTGCAACTTCCTGGATGGACTCACTTAAACAATTAATTAAAAATTCATACTGTTGACTTTCTGTCAGTCAACGAGTCAACTAACCCTTTCACCTCTGTGTATTCATTCAAGCCCCTGTACGTAAAATGTCATGTGATTATAACTAATCTTATTAATCCATGAAAGTATACTGATGGCAGAAGGTTTTATTCTGTTGTAGGAAAATTGAGTGATTCTGGTGAAATTCGGTGCGGTCTATGAGTTACTTCCATCATATCAGGACATTCTTAATTTCTTAAAAGTCGATTGACTGAGATTAATCAGCTGCTATTTTGGTAATTGATTGATTGATTGTTCAAGTCAGTTCTACAATATTCATCTGAAAATATTTGGGTTGCTGGTTGGACAAACAAGTCATTTAAATACGTCAACTTCGGCTTTGAGTAATTGTGATGGGCATTTTTTAACTCTATTTTTTCGCGATCGTATGCAGACTTTAATGAGGGACAAATCTATAACTATAGATCAGTGGTTGTCAAACTGGTAGGGACACTGCAGGTGGGGAGTGGGTGACCAGGGGAAAAATATGGAGTGGAACAAAGTCGAATTAATATGATTTATGTAGGGAAAATAAACAAATGAGTGTGCTGACCTTAATTTCACTTAAATTCAACTTGGATCCTTTTTCTTTTATTAGTTTTGGTTTCCCTGTCATTGTTAATAATTGCTAAAAATTGTGGGGTGGTGGGGCGTAAACTTTTTTTAGCTTCTGAAGGGGCCCATGGCAGGAAAAAAAAAAGAGAACCACTGCTAGACTAACTTTTAGAGTTAGACCAATTAATCAGCCAGAGTAAAATACTGTCAATATTAGCTTATTGTCCATAAATAACCTGGCAAACTAGGTTTGAGGTCATTTATAAACAGTGTTCCCATTACAAAGATTGTGCATCAGAGAGCAAAGACATTTGATTTTCAACTGTGAAATGTCCCGCACAGCATGTTTTTGTATTATAATTATAATTTTTTATATATATATGTGTGTAAAATATTGATATCAGTGTCAGCCTCAGAAGTCCAGTATTGGTCGGTCTGGACTAACTACAGACTAAAAATGTATACACACGTTTTTACTTACACAGTTTGCTTCCACGGAAAATAATAAACCTTAGTTGTTCTGGTTTGTCATTTGCACCTTCAGTGAACTTTGTTCCTGTATTTTTTAGGTTGATCCTCCTCCACCTCCTCAGACAGATATCTATAAGCACTTCATACGAGGGGATGGCACTAGGAGCAAGATGGGTGTGGCCAGTGGAGGGAGAGGAGACAAGGCTGACTCCACCTCCCCATATCAGGCCCAAGCTGCCACTCCCACTGCTTCCGCCCAGCCCCCCAAGGACCCGTCCGAGCTGTCGGACCCTCAGCGGAAGAAGGTGGCAAAATACAGAGCCAAGTTTGACCCCCGGGTCACAGCCAAGTACGACATCAAAGCTCTGATAGGTCGCGGGAGTTTCAGCCGGGTCGTTCGCGTGGAGCACAAGAGCACGCGGCAGCCATACGCCATCAAGATGATCGAGACCCGTTACCGGGAGGGGAGGGAGGTGTGTGAGTCTGAACTCTGCGTTCTGCGCCGTGTCCGTCACACCAACATAATCCAGCTGATGGAGGTGTTTGAGACGGCGGAGCGTGTCTACATGGTCATGGAGCTGGCCACCGGAGGAGAGCTCTTTGACCGGATCATTGCCCGCGGCTCCTTCACAGAGCGGGACGCCACGCGGGTGCTTCAGATGGTGCTGGACGGCGTCAAGTACCTCCACACTTTGGGGATCACTCACCGAGACCTGAAGCCAGAGAACCTGCTCTACTACCACCCTGGGGCCGATTCCAAGATCATCATCACTGACTTTGGTTTGGCCAGTAGCAGGAAGAAGGGGGACGAGTGTCTGATGAAGACCACCTGCGGCACGCCAGAGTACATCGCCCCTGAAATCCTGGTGAGGAAGCCCTATACGAACGCTGTAGACATGTGGGCGCTGGGGGTGATATCGTACATCCTGCTGAGCGGAACTATGCCCTTCGAGGACGACAACCGCATGAGGCTCTACCGGCAGATCCTCAAGGGGAAGTACAGCTTCTCTGGAGAGGTGAGGAGTTAGATCTGAAACACACTCTCTCTCTAACTCACACACACACACACACAAACACACACACACACACACACACACACACACACACACTCACCAGCAGACTTCACCCATATTTGGAATACATTCCTCACGCTGCATGAGGCTTTGTCAACAGATTTCCAAGAAGTTCTGCTTTTCTCATGAGGTGACACAGTTTCACACAGACACACACTCATTTTCAAACACACTCCCGTCCTTGCTCTTCATCTCACAGTTCACGTCCATTTCTGTTTCATGTACCTCTCCCTTTCCTTTTACCTTGCCATACTCGCTCGCTCTCATTCATTTGCTCTGTCTTGCAAGTCGATATCTATGTATGCCTCTCCCTCTAAGTCTGTGTCTGTGTGCACAATAATTTATGCTCAATCTGTGCATCTAGTTACAAGAGTGCTGAGTAGTCCGTTCCTTTGTTTCATAGCGTGGGATGTTTATGTTGCCAGTGAGCTTTACAAAAGGGCCCCTTAGTTAATGTTTGCCCCACATACAGCCACTCCAGCGCAAATAATAGCTGAGTAGTTTTGTAATATTTAATGAGGAGCAGTTATATCATCTCAGTTTTCCAGGGATGTGTCCAGATTTGAACTTCTCCAATGTCCGACAGGTAAGATAAGGTCAGATCTGACACATTTAATAATTGAAATCACTTCCAGGGAGCTGGAATTTTAGCTGAGGTCTGCAAATAGTACAGTGCTGCTGGATGAGTACCAGGTTATGTCCAGCAAGTCGTCCTTGGAATCAGTGAGAGAACTTGTTACTGGAACCGTTATGCATTTTTTGGATGATATACTGGTTGTTGAGTAGATATTATGGTCTTGGTCACATAAAAGCCTATAAACTTAAAAAAGGAGCAAGATTTCTGATGAGAGCAATGACAGAGCAGCCTTTATTCTCTGTCATCATGAGGACAGACAGGCCCAAAAATTCATATTTCATTAAGAAGTCCAAACAAGCTGTAATAACAACACTGACATAGTTTAACCTTTTAAAGTTGATATGGCGAGCTTTGTAGCAAACGAGTTGCCTACTTACACATCCAGCAGTGATGTTTCTGCCCACTTGGTGAATGTAATATTCACTCCTTTTAGCTCTGGCTTTGGTTTCTACTAGTTCATGACGGAAATATTTGACTGTTTAGCTGCTAAAGTTTCCACTATGTTCACCAGCTAGACGCTAACTTTATCTGTTTGCTGTTTGGTGCTGGACAGGTAGTGTGTTTATCAGATTTTTTTCACTGAAAACAGCTGCCTGCTGTGGCCGAAGACGAGGCTACGACAGCAGTGGTGAGAGTGAATTATATATAAAGCTGTGGGCTGAAAGTAATAACATTCTCTATAGAACTTGGGGTGTGAGAAAATATAGAAAAATACTGTATCATAATATTTTGTTTTGTAATATTGTATCAATGCTCAAAAACACTATTGATTTTTGGGTGTAAACCCCCAAGTACTAGTATTAGTACCTATTAGTAGTATTGTATTGCCATACTTTTGCACATACACACCCCTACATATAAGGGGGATAGTTCTCATATGGTTTGTCACTACGAGTTACCCAATTCACATTTTGTTCACATTGAACTACATACCGTAATTTCCGGACTATAAGCCGCTACTTTTTCCACACGCTTTGAACCCTGCGGCTTAAACAATGATGCGGCTAATCTATAGATTTTTACGGGCTTACGTCCTCCAGGAGGCGCTCTAGCAGGAAGCGCAAGAGCGAGACAGACAGGTGGAAGAGATAATGCGCCGAGGAAGCTAGTTTGATTGTGTTTTGAATTCATTCAGTCATTTTGCGCATCATGCACACACCCTCATCATGGAAAACACAAGAAGAAATGATGCAGCTTTTTTAAAGGCAATCGATCTGGCTGTCGAAGAAGAGCTGCTGCATGTAAGCTTGGCATCAATGAATCAACGGTGAGACGTTGGAGATGGCAGCATTTATTTAATTAAAAATTTAAAAAATATTTCTGTGTAAATATCTGATGTTACAGCGTGGACACCTGCAGCTTATAGACAAGTGCGGCCTATATATGTAAAAAATGTTTTTTTCTTTTTAAATTTAGTTGGTGCGGCTTATATTCAGGTGCGCTCAATAGTCCGGAAATTACGGTAGTCATTTGACCCATTGCTGTTATAAAAACATTGATTATAGCCATTTGAAATGTGTTGTCTGTAGTTTTATTAACAGAGTTATGCTTACATTTGATCCAACTGCATTGTGTTTACCCTTGAGTCCTGACAAGCTTGTAATGCTTTGCTATTTGTCACAAATGTTGAAATGGTACACTGTTTACATCCATGCATTTCTATGTTTTTTGCCACCAACAGTCTATCATTAGAATAGCTTGTACTTTTGCGCGTACTCATAACAAAACATGGCTCGACAGTGCTACGAAAACACAAAAGTTCTTATTTTCAGGTGGTTATACACTGATGAAAACATACAACATCATATTCCATTTCTGCCAATAGATCCCCCTAAATGTTACACACTGGACCTTTAAGAAGACCCCGTCCTGAGGGTAAATGAGAGGTGGAGCTGAGGTTAGGCAGACTTGAATGCATTTCCCTTGGGGACATGTGTCTTTACGGCTGTGATAAATAATGTTCACATTTACAGCTGTAGACCAAGAACTAATGACAGCCCAGACAATGTAGTAGGCTGAGGAGAAATGTATGTCTGAGGGTTATATATGTGTCATGTATCTTTAGCCAACACTGGTGATTTACCTGCTGTGTGGAGAGTGGGGGAAGTTGTCTACTGGGAGACTGAAAACACAGCTGGTTGCCAAGCAGGACATCATGTACAAACTGTGTGTGTGTGCGCAGAAAGGCATGCTGTGTTGATATTCCCAATTCTTGTCTATGCAGGGGGTAAAGTTTGACTCACTACCAGTGAGAGAGTCAGCAGCAGTTGTCAGGAACATTTGCTTTAAAGGACCTTTTTATTTACTTTCGATCTTTTAAGAACATGAAATTCTGTAGAAACAAAATGTATACAAACAGGCACACTACCCCACACCCTTTATTGAGTCTGACATGAGAAGACTAAGAAGACACATTATCACATTGAGTGGAATAAACCAAATGCCTAATGAGCATGTTTGTTTTGGTCAGCTTTAGAGCTCACAGTATGCTCCTCACACTGTAAGGCACTGTAAGACGCTCTCAGCTTTATATCACTCTTCTGCCCTCTTGTGTCCAGTGGACAAAGTTCTGCTTATGCCAAGCAAACTTAAAATTCTAAAAAAAATTATTTAACCCCCCCCCCCCCCACAAAATTTTTCCTTAGAAGCCATTTTGACACAAAATAGTAGGGTAAACACGGATGTTACCAATGATCCTAATTATGTTCTTTTCCATTCAGGTCAAGGTTGTGCATGTTGGCTCACTGGAAACTATCTGCTACACTGAAGGGACCTTAATGAACCTTAAATAGTATCACTGGTAACGCCTGTGTTTAACCCACTATTTCATGTCAAAATGGCTGCTTTGAAAACGGTATTTTGTGCCTTCTTTTGGATATTTGACTGTCCGAATGATGCATGCACAGTGAGTTTTCACATGCATCTGTTGAATCCTGCTCTTACGTATAATAAGCCATCATGGTCCAACTTGCACACGTGTATGGTTGGGTGTCATTAAGATTTACTTTAACGGTACTCTTCTCGGTTCTTCTTTTATTTTTCTTTTGTGTGTTTTATTCTATGTATGTACATAGCCTTTATTTCCAGAAATAGACCTTTTTCACAGTAGGGTTAACACAGGTGTTACCAAGGATACTAATTAAGTAGTGCTGTCAGTTAAACGGGTTATTAACGGCGTTAACGCAAACCCATTTTAACGGCGTTAATTTTTTTTATCGCAAGATTAACGTCCTTTTTGGCCTAGCACACTTTGTAGTTTTTTTCACATGCTGTTGCAACAACTAGTAACGTTAGAAAAACTACAACACCACACCGAATCTAGCTAGACCGGAAACAAAACAACAGGCACGCCGCACACACTTGTTTAATGTTGCTATCCATTTGTCTCGTAAATCCCCCGCCCGAGTTGCTCTGCTGCGAGAACGTGACGTAATTGCCTGGTTTGTACCACTTATAGCGTTCCATTTGTCTTTGGGCATTACGAGTCGGAAAGAAGTGCAGCAGCTGTCTTGTTATAGCTTGTGGCTCTTCTTAACAAGCTCAATGTGAAATAATAATGTTTTTCTACAGTAACACTAACATTTCAAGTAATTCCGTTATTACAAGTCTTATATTTCAATATTATTTTGCCATTTTCGCCTATTTCAGTTTCAACAAGTGCTGTGGTGTTTCTCTCGAGCCACAAGGGGCAGTGGCAGGCTAGTGTTATTGTTAGCTACATTAGCCTATTTAGCAAACCAGCTCGAAAAAAAACTTTACATTGTATTGCACGCACAGCAACACCGTGCAATGCTTAAATTGGTGACCGGACTAAAGCAACAATGTAGTGTAGGAGCATTTAAAATCGACATTAAAACGACCAATGTAGTACAAATGCAAAGAAAATACATCTCAATACGGGCGCTGTCATCTTTGTTTTGCCGGTCGTACGTTCGTCCTCGTTTAGCTCGGTGTACTGTGAGGTAGCCCGAGCTGGACGGCTGAAATTGATCAAAAGGGGGTGTGTCTCGGTGAAATGTCGCGAGATAGCTGCGAGATTTACACTTTCCAACTCGGGCTCCGAGTTCACGAGACAAATGGATAGCACCATAAGAGCAGTAGACATTACATTTTGAGTGAGTTTTGAGCGCGAGACGCCGAAATGGATGCCAGTAATATTCTGAATGGAAAGTTTACTTTTAAAAAATTTGCCAAATGGTTCCATTGACAAGACCAAAGTGATCTGTGTGTTTTGTCGTTGTGAACTGAGCTATCATCGCAGCACGTCCAGTCTGAAATACCACTTGATGGCCAAGCACACAGCTGATGCGAATGCTCCGCCCCCTCATCAAAGCCAGGCGACAATGGATGATTTTTCAATAAAAACAACATTTGCACAAAGCAAGCCAATCCACTTTTCCATGTTGATAAGAGCATTAAAACGAGAAAAAATTATGGGACAAAAAGAAATCAAGGGACATTTAGAATAGATAAAAATGTGCGATTAATTGCGAGTTAACTATGACATTAATGCGGTTAATCGCGATTAAATGTTTGAATCGTTTGACAGCACTATAATTAAGGTTTTGTTCCATTTAGTGTAGCAGAGACTTTCCAGTGAGCGAACATGCACAATAGCCTCTGTTTGACCTGAATGGAACAGAACCTTAATTAGTATCATTGGTAACACCTGTGTTTACCCTACTATTTTTATGTCAAAATGGCTGCTGTGAAAAAGGTCTATAAATGCAATACAATTCAGAAATGAGTGCCTACACCCCAGTTACAGAATGACTGGGTCAGGCTATATACAGAACTGACATTAAAATTTCAGTTTGTTAATTATAGCCTTGTCTCATGTCTGTGTCTCTCCAGCCGTGGCCCAGCGTGTCCAACCTGGCCAAAGACTTTGTGGAGCGGATTCTAACGGTGGACCCCAGCGAGCGGCTCACAGCTGGCCAAGCCCTCAAGCACCCCTGGATCGTCAGCATGGCTGCCGCCTCCTCCATGAAGAACCTGCAGCGCTGTATATCTCAGAACCTCCTGAAGCGGGCGTCCTCACGCTGCCACAGCACCAAGTCGGCCCAGTCTACTCGCTCCAGCCGCTCCACCAAATCCAACAAAGCCCGGCGGGTGCGAGAGAAGGAGCTGCGCGAGCTAAACCGGCGATATCAGCAGCAGTACAACGGCTGAAACGGGGGGCGACCGCAGACTGCTTTTGGGGGGGAAACAGCACTAGTGACTGACCTTTTACAATGACTACCACCATTCGAAGTTGCTGCCAGTGTTAGAGGCCAAAATGGCTTCATGTCCCAAATCATATCCTTAAAAATGAGGACAATAACGTGACTTAATCCATGACTAAGGTTGACTGCTGCCAGTTGAGACTATTGTCAGAAATGATCATGAAGACAATGTAATCTATGAATTCCTATGGCAGCGTGTCTCCTGATGAGCACAGAAAAGGACACACCAGTAAGGTTTTGAAGTGTTACATCATCTCTCCATCCATTCCATCACTTTCTGTCTGGCAGGATGGTGCCTTTCCCTCCTTTTGCTTTTGTTCTTTCAATCCCTGTGTCTACATATTTATTTATTATTGTTGACATGATTATTAGTCTCCATTCAAATGGTCACTGGATAATGACCTTCCACGAGGATCTGTTGAACAGAGTTCTGGGTACTGAAGTTTGTAAGAAGAAAGGGATACTTTAAGAAGAGGGGAAAACAAATTCCCCTCACTCATTCCTGATTGAAAATTGCTGTGAATTTATTGTTGTACTAATTGTACAGACCTTGTCTTTAAGATGTGGGTTTCGGAAACACACTGCAACAACAAACACGCTTAGAGTTCAAAATGAAGGCGTATTTTTTTGTTAGTCAGTTCTAAGCTTATCTAATCTTGCCATTGTTGCTCCGGTAATATCATCGTTCTAAAGCTGTCAAAAGATTGTGAAGCTGTTTTGTGTCAGTGTTAAATCCTAAATGTATTGTACCAGACATTAGGCCACACAGCCCCCCTCCCAACGATTTATTAGATCAGTACATTGACTCATGAAGTACCTGCTATGATCTCTTCCTGTTGTAGAGCAGTACTCCAATAAGTCATTAGGGTTCAAAACCCTTTTGTGTTGGTGCATGTTTATTACGTGTTGCAAAAGCTCAAATTGCCTTGACCTGGAATGATTTAGAACCAGGCCTGATAAGTGGTAGCGATGTGTACGCGCTTCCCAAGAAATATCAGCCCAGTCAACCAGATGGTGGCGCTGTAATGCCAAATAATTTACATCGTAAGTCTGATTGACTAGAAAGTGGACACACAATGCGCTCTACCTGCTGTGGAAAACCAGTAATATGAATAGAACGAAAGAAGGATTTTGACTGTATAAACACCATATTGGGTACACAGCATTACGTGAGATCCATCGAAAAACATGGCATCCATCAAAAATGTGTTTGCAAAGGGCAGACTGAAGCCTTTTAAACTCGACCCATAGAGGGTGCCACAAAGGTAAAAAACGGTGGGCTAGAATTTCAAAAAATTCCACTGTGCATGCTCTGGGGGCGAGTATTAACACAATCTGAAGGGCCATTTTGATTGGTACGAGTGGGCGTGGACTATCACATATTTGTTCATAACTCTAAATTTCTTTGAACAATCCCGATGAAACTGGAGACAGTGCCACCTCCGGTTAATACACACCAGGTTTCATTCAAATCAGATGAACTGGGGCAAATGGTGGAAGTGCACCACTATTGAACCGCTACAGGCTTTGTGATGATGAAACAAGCGTGTGATTGGTCTCACTCCTTCTTTTAACAGAATCGAACTAGCCAAAGTGACTTTGCTCGGCATTGTGAAGCTTTCATTTTTGCCGATTGAGCTGCATCAGCATGGTGAGCGATATTTGTATTTAAAACGGTATGTGGTCATTTAGGGCGTTGCGTGGTTTTACAGTTTCATTGTTTATTACAGTGGGAGTGGCACACGTATGCAACAATGACAGCAAAGATCTTTGTTGTAGAGAGCTGCCTCTGGTTGCACTAGCTCTTTGAAAGTTCGAAGTTGGTTATAACAAAAGTGGAGATTGACACGTCACCAAATTAAAATGGGTTGCACCACGCAAATATTTACTCCAACCTGTTCGTAGCTAACTGAACCCACTGACAAAGCTAACATTAGCTTGCTAATATCTGACCCGTATAGACTGAAGAGGCGTCTGAAGACTTAAAATTACATTTCACATGAATAACACTTATACCTTAATTTACTAAATGTTATGCCAAAAATGATGCTAATTTTAGCTAGGTTAGCATAATCGTCTCTTTGTCACTCACTCAGAAGTGCATAAACACTGCTAACTCTGAAACATGAAATATAAAACAACCAGATTAAGTAAATCACTTAAACAAGCTATTTGTTACAATAACTTATGACTCACAGACTCATTATTGGATTTATGAATAGCCGGTGCAATCCAGGCATCTACCTACCATGAGAGTCCTACCATGTTTTCTAGCTAGCCTCTATTCCACGGACATTTGTTACTCAATGGATTTTCTCAGAAGAACATACCGCAACATATCAGCCATCGGCATGCTGTCACAGTAATTGTTTCTTGGTTAAAGTTTTACTAGCCATTGTCAGTAGTTGGCCATTTAGCGCAGAATATGGAGAGAAAATCCAGGAACATGATTCTGTTCGTGGAACAGAGGCTAACCAGGAGAGGGTCGACGTCAACAATACAATGTACAGTATAAATCTGTATACTACTCTTATGAAATGAAGGAACATTGTGAGAAGCATGTAGATGTGAATCAAATGACCGTTAGTATGTATGATTTATAAAAGATTCTGAATTACAGAACCACGCAACCAATGCAATCTTATGTACAAGTTTTCTTAAGATTGGTTCGTAAGTGCACTTAAATCTGAATACATCTGGAAGGCTTGCTTAGAGATGAGGTCTAGTTTATGAAATCCACAGTATTGATAGTAAAATAGGTTGTAGCTCTCTTATATTCTGCACTGTTTTAGTTCTGCCTTTTTCAGTCTGATTCATAACTAGTCCAATGCAGTCCAATATATAGTGTGGATGGTGGGCCTCCTTGCAGTAGGAAGGTTTTGTGACTTCTGCATTACTCAGAGCTGTTGATGTAATCGCAATAACCTGAAATGAGAGTAGACTAGGGATTTTGGTTTTTGTCATATTGTATAATTGAAATGGTAAAATGCTGCATTACAGTAAAGGGAATTTTCTGAACTTATTAAACAGTGCAAGCAAAGTGAAATGAATAATAAATGCGACTGATTGTTTGGTCATCCTATGTTTAAATCATGTTTAAATGATTGATTGCGAATGATTCATCCCCAACATGGTCAAAATAATGTGATATTTGATTATTGAATACTTCCCAAAGGTAGCACAACTTAAAGCTTCAGAAAGTTCCTCTGAGCTTCAGATTTCTTTTATCTGACAAAGCACTTCATCTATACAGTTAAATTCAATTTTCCTCTGCTTTTTTTTTTTTTTTTTATGTATTTTGTCCCTTCAGAGTAAATCAGTTGCTACAGTGTGGTCTTTTCTTCTTTATATGAGCATTTTGCTGTGATCTACCCCAGACTTTTGAAGTGTGTTGCTGTTGTGAACTTTTTAACACATACTGGAAACCTAAACGAGCCATGTCAGCTGACCTCAGTTCTTCCTTTCTTTTTGACCTTTGCTTTTTCCAGGATACTCTGATATCTTTCTGTTATTACTCTTTCCATTTTCTTTGATGTCAGATTTGAAGTCTTTGTCCCACTGCTGTTATCTGTCCCAATGTCTCTTGATGGGATTAAAGTACTTATAAAAGACCTTAAGTGACACATTGGAACTGGTATTGGTACATTCAAATCTTCACTGTGTACATTTTGATATACTCTACCCAAAATGTGTTTAATACCAAACGCATGCACTCTGTGCCCTTGAAAAGGTTCGTTCAAAAAGTGCTTCACAGACAAAACCGCAGTGGTCATGTTAAAGATTTTGGATGAAGTATTGGATTCAGTTTAAGGTGTCAAACTTCCTGCAGCATGCAGCTTAATGAGGTGGCCTTAGTTCTGGTAGATAGTTCATTGATTGCTCCTAGAGCATAGCATCTATGTGAAATAAACATTTGTAACCCGTTATGAAATCTTCACTCTTAGGCTCACAGTCACAAAGTAATCATTTGGACTCAAGGAATTGCTGTGGTTGAATTAGTAGGAACATTGCTGAGTGCCTAGTGTATACCATGTTCAATGAATAACCAAATCAACTGTTTTTGCAGTGTCAGCACATTTGTAAAAGTGTTTCCTGTCATGTTTTTATATATCTGTGATTTTATATAAATGCTGTCGTCCTAAATGAAGTAGCCAACTCAACACTGTTACCTGAAAACAGTCGTTCATCTTTTGTTATTGTGTGTCTAAATGAATGATAACACTTTGATTCTTCTACCATTAACGTTTTTTATTTTTTTAAACGGTGAGTTGTATGTGCCAATAAAACACTCGAACCTGAACCTTGTGTTTGTGTTTTAATATGCTTTTCTCTGAGAGCTTGTTTGTGATTGGCCAAACAGATCAATGAGTCACAATGCACAACGAGAATACATTTGATTTGTAACCCCCCCGAAAATGTAATGGTAGAAAGCTGGAGTTCAAGCTAAGGTAATATTTTTCGAACATTAGCTAACTAATTTAAGTTGTGACTGTTTATATGTCGCTTTTATCTTTTAACCAGATTCAAAATGTGGCTGTGTTTTCATCATAGACTAGCTTAGCACATAGCATATCTCAGTACGGGAAAGGACAAAGTTGACCAAGTTTCGGACTGAAGTTTGCTCAATTGTTATTGGAGCACAGAACCAAAAGAGGCGGGACTTTGGAAGAATAAATTGTCTTTTTCTATACATTTTTTTCTGCTCTTACTTAAACTAAAAATTAAACTAAAAGTGTATTTTCGTTTGCACAGAACATTTGCTATATAGTCTCACTGCTTTCATCAACCCTGTAAAAAAAGCTCAGATAAACCTGCTGTGTGCTTCCCCCCCCCGTAAGAAAGGGCAAACAGAGAGTTAGCAGCTGGCTGGTGGAGAAAAACATCCGACAGCCAAAGACTGCATGAAAGAATTGATGGAGGCAAAAACAGAGCTAAAGGGACTGTGAATATCTGATACATGTATGTCATGTTGGCAGAAACATGGCTCAAAATAAATGATGATGTTGCTCTGTGTCAACTGGTTGAGTAAACTGGCAACTGTTTGATAGCAACTTTATAAGGTGGGGTCAGCATTGTGTCACTTAATGTGGAGTTCTTCTGCCCCCCAGTGGCTGAAAAAATTGCATACAGCTTTAAGATTTGTACATTTAATTCAATTTTATTTGTATAGAGCCAATTTCAAACAGAAGTTATCAGAACACTTTTTTAATAAAGCAGGAAAATGAAAAACAAGACAAAATAACATTAAAATGCAATTAACAATAACAACAATACACAAACTCAATGACAAAAGCTTAATAACAACACAAGATTACATTTTACAAATTCAAAAAGGAGTAGGAAGAAGTATACACTTATTTATTCCTACGCCTTCTCTTCTTGTCAGTAAACAGTAAACTTTTTCACTACATATATTTATATATACACATATACACACATTTGAATACCTTTATACATACATGCACACATAACCATCATTACAGCCCTTTTTATATATCTTCTTGAACTTACTAATATTTGCGGTATGAACAAAAAGTTTCTTTAGAATAAACTCTCCTCTCAAATTCTAACCATCCTCCCTGTCAAAGAACATTTATGGTATATTGCTGGGTAGTAAATTATTTTTTGCTTTATACATTATATTATATATCATATCATACCGGAGACAGTACAAGATCCATTTAATTACGAGCTACTAACTGTGTCATATAGCCATGGTTCAATCCAAGGTTAATTCTGGTGGTAGTGAGTAGTTTATCAATTAATTGGGTTTGTATTTTATATTACAATGGGTGAAATAAGCATGTTAAATCCTAAAAGTTGTGTCCGTCCTAGTTACAGTCCTGTTTCCTGTCAGTAAACAGCGCCCACTGCTGGCAAAACCGCAGCGTGACCGGTAAAGCTGGACTAAAGTGGTGGATGGAGGCCCTGTGGGTTGCCAGGTTTGATACAAAGCCCCACACACCATTATCAACGGTACCTTTGGTGTGCGAGAACAAAGTCAGGATGACAGCCATTTGGTTACGTTAGTTACAGTTTATGTTTCTAAGAACACAATACGCTAAAACGGTGGTTTCTTTACGATGTCTGTTATCTCAAATTCACCAGGGAGTAAACTCTGCTCGGCGGTTTATGAGGATAAGTTAACCCAACCTGGCATCCGGTCTTAACCAGACGTCAGTGGTCCACTGTGCTGCGGCTGTAGCGTTCACTGACTTTACTGCTAGCTTTTGTTCGGTGGACATTAAACCAGCTAGTAGCTCCCGCTTATCAGCTCATGAACAAGCAGACAGTGAGCGATACAAACAAATAACCGTGAGGGGCGAGCCGTCGTTCTGCTCGGTGAGTACAATGAACACAAACCCCCAGCACATACTGGGAAATTAAACAGTTACTAAGCTAGCTAGCTAACGCTGTACATGTGATAGACTGCTGCCTCGGAAAAAAATCTCTTAGCACGTCCTCTTGTTTACAACACCACTCTCACATGTTTGAGTGTCGCTTTGTCGCCTTTAACACGGGCTTTAACGGGTTTCCAGTAACGTTGTTTACTGTCGGTGCCCTCACAGACTCTCAGCCTCCAGCATGTGTCTGCTGATGCTTGCTTTGTTTATGCTGATAAAGTCCTCAGCGTTAACAGTTAGCTGACTTCTGCGGGGCTAACGTTACATAGCTGTGGGTCGGTTTCTGCCTTAGCTAAGTTAACTAACTAGCCAACTAGCTAACGTGTTGAGAGACAGTGTTTTGAAGAAAGGTTGTGTCGCGATGGAAAGCAGTGGACTGTTATTTCATCTCACGGCCCCACCGACGGTGAGATTGTGCCTGTAACGTAACGTTATTTAAATCCTGGTAACACCAGACCGTGCATGCACTCTAGTGTAAACTGTGGGCATTTAAATGTGGGTGTATTTAGTAGTGTGTTCGGTTGGCTCAGGGAGTTAACCATGATCACTACATAGGACAAAGGGAAGTGTGTTTTATGGAACATGGAAGAAAACATAGAGTCAGTGTGACCTGCACATCTGTTTACAGTCTATGTGATACACATCTGCAGACGGAGTCCTCGCGTTTCATCAACCAAACAGCTGCCGTCTTATCTTTCTACTTAGGGCTGCACAGTTCATCAAAAGGTTATGTAAATCACAGAAGCTGCAATGTTTCGATAAAAATAAAATGTGTGCCAAAACCTCATGTTAATAAAGTAGTGTAATGCTGTATCCCACGTGTCCTGGAAAACCTGGACATTAAGAGACTAGTTTTCCAGTCATGAAGATTTTAATTGATTAAAAAAGACCAAATATCTCATAAATAATGTATGTAGTCCTTGACATGTTGGTATTGTAGCCCCTCACTCAGATAGCCTGTGTAAACCTCGGTGTGTTTTTGTTTGAAACTCGACTGTTGGAAGGATACACTGTAGGACACTTTATCAGACGCACAGTGGAACTGACCTGCAGTGATCTGTCTGGCATTGAGTCTATTTTTTCCAAGCGAAGTTCTCATTTCTCCATGCATACAAGGATCACATTTCTCGTTGCTGTGGTTGATAGATAAATACATGCACACACAGCGATGTTAATTGTACATGCAACAAAAACTTTAACTTTCTAGGAGATCGGTTTTCTGTAAAGTAAAATCAAATTAATTCTACTTGTTTCGTATGTGCTGTGGCCAAATGAATGTAGTCAATTTGCCTGAAACTGCAGCTTGTATGATCCTTTGTAAGTCCTGTAAACTCCTGGAAAGGTCCTGGAAAGTGATTTGTTAAAGAGTGGGAACCATGTTGTTCTCCAGATATGAGAAAACATGTTTGTTTTGTACAGACGACCCAGCAAATGTCACATCATCGTGATTTTTCTTTTTCAGTGTAAGTAAAAATGCAAAAATGATGAATAACAATAACTGTGAATCATATCACAATCGTAGTATCTGTCAAAATGATCATAAGTATTCTTTTTTGTTTCTTTTACCATGTCTTTGTGGTTCCTGACAAAAATGGTACAATTACATCCAAGTTCTGCTGACAGTAATTAGCTAATTGCTAACACTGCTGTGTGTCTCTCCTCTGTCCTCTGATTGTGGTGGGGGTCCCATCCTAGCTACTGGTCTTTATTCACCCGGAGGTTTGCTGCCATTTTTGTGGCTTGGTGTTATGTTGACACAGGTAGTCCCAGCCTGTCTTTAACAGCCCTGCCCTAACCAGTGGGGCTATTTTTACAGCCCTGGGTCTAACCCAGTAGTCATTAGCTGTATTGTTGTCTCACAAAGGCAGGGATCCTGCCCCAAGCCGGAACTAGTGATTGAGCCCCCTCCTGTAAGACCAGACCAGCCAGAGGCTTTTAATTACACCGTCTACACTTGTATCACCCGTGTAGGCCCGAATGTGCAGTGTTTATCTACTGGATCATTAAGGCTGAGCAGCAGTAGCAGTGTGGCCACACGCATACAATGTAGCAATGAGGATTTTGTGTCCTTCCTGATGACTATATAGCTAGTAATACCCTGATACCCCAAAGGCCTGCTAATGTAGTGTAAGTAAGTAGTGTTTGCTAGTGATAGTACAGTCTCCGTAGAGGAGACGAGAGCATCAACAGGAGAACCAGACAGCTTAAATTATACTGACGTGATTGGATAGTTAAAAAGCAGGGTTAGATAGTATACCTTGGGACAGAATCTGGACTTGTTTGTGAACTACTGTACCATGTAAATCTGTTTGTTTTTGCTTGTATTTTCATAGCAATCGAACCAGCGAGTGTCTCCGCTGTCGGGTAGCGCATTCACACATGTTAACAATAATTGATGGGGAGGTTAAGTTGTTTTCATCCTTGGATGGGAAGTGTCTGACTTGTAATGACAATAGTCACCCCTGCCTGGATCAAATAGACTAAAGGTACACATACACACTCACAGTGCTTACTGTGTTCCTGCACGTGCTCTGTGCAGCTGTGAAGCTCAGCAGTCGGAGAGCAGCCGGTCCACAGCACACTAACAGTCACTGAGTGGGTATTGTGGAGGCTAATCGATGAAATCAATCCCCAAAATGAGGATAGGTGGGTGCTTAAATAGCCTAGATGATTGTCCCAAACAGCCTGAAAGCCATCACCACTGTCCCTCTGGCTAAAGGAGGAGGCAGTTACAGTCTCTGCAGGAAGGGAGGTCGTCTTACGTAACCTGGGCTGGACCCTCAGTCAGCGTGGTTCTCATGAGCCCTGTGTTGAGCTTGGCAAACGTGTGTGTGCCTTTGTGTCTTGTAGGTAGCTGTGTGTGTGTGTGTGTGTGTGTGTGTTGTGTGTGTGTGTGTGTGTGTGTATTTTATTACTGGGCTGGGAGTCGTATATCACACAGTTTGAGGTAAGTTGAGGCAACCTAGCTAGGTTTTTTTTTTTATGCTGATTGGTGTTTCTGTGCACCTGTAATGTGTGTGTACTGTGTTTATCCACCCAGTAAGTTCTTTATGCCATGCGGTGTAGGACGGCCCGTTGCAACAGAAAGATGCTTTTGATGAGTTTGTTTTAAAGCGGCTCACAGCGTATTGGTTCTGCTTTGAGTTTTCTTCATTGGGTCTGCAGTTGGCAGTTTTTGGCTGTTTCTGTATAACTCAGTAAGCCATGCCATCCTTGCAGGTGAGATACATTTTTATCTCCGTGTACGTGCTCTATCTAGTAACAGGGTTGCTCCCCGAGGGCAGCACAAACTCCTCATGAGTGGCTAAATGTGGAAGGAGTGGTTAATACTACATTCTCTCTGCACCCAACACCTCCCTTCCTTCCCCTTGGCACAGTGGAGGAAACACTCCTTTCTCTGAACACTGCAAGACAGGATAGAAATGTAAACAAAGCCTCTGGAGGTTGTTTTGAACATTAGTGTTGGAGGCGGCTAGAAAATAAACGTATGTGGTACCTTGCAACGGTAATGTTTTTATCTGGATTTGGTCTGTCAGTCGGCAGGAGATCTCAAACAGATTTTCACTCAATGTGGATAGACGGATAGACCCGAGGCCAACAAACAGTAAGCCTGGCTGATACATCAGGGCTGATATATATCTGCACTGCATATATGTGGGCAGATATGCAAAAAGAATATTGCAACACAGTTACATTAAAGTGCAGCAATAAATATTTATTCACTAGGTAACACCTTCTTTGGATAGTCCACCTACAGATTAGTTTGCATTAGATTATCTGTATGGTGGTCGACCAATATGGGTTTTTCAGTGACCAGTGCTGATGTTGATATTTAGAGACCAATGGCTGATATCAAACCAAAGAAAAGTCATGTATAATTCCATTATTCCATGCAATTACAATCTAATATAAAGGCCCTCTACATGTTGTTTCAGATGGAAGTTTTAGTCATTAATGAAATAGAAAAATACATTGAGTTATGTTGTAGATTTCAGATTGGTATTTATGGGTGAGTGGGTTACAGTATCACTCAACTACCTTATTTTATACATTATAATATAATATATATTTAATGCCAGCCAATGAAGATTTTAGCTACCCGCAGACATTCTTACATTGTATGTTTGCAGACATTTTTATGCTTGTAACAGTATTTATTAAAAGTTTTATATAGGTTTATCTTGGCTTATTCTTCTGTCGGAAGTACATTGAATATAAAAAACTTTTAATGTCATTATACTGAAGCCTTTGATTAATATCGGGATTTCTTCCATATTCATATGAAGGAATCAGAAGTTTTGTTGAGCAAACTGCAGCGTAGTAAAAACAGAACACTATAAACTGACATGAAATACTCAAAGTAGGGATGCACGATAACTTTTTTTAATACCGATAACACAACATATACATATATATATGATCATGACCTAAGATCATGACATTAATACTATGAACAAATCCAAAAACACTTTTGACTCTTTAAATGGAGATATTTATTTTTTCCAATGAAAAACTATTGGCAAGCCTCTCAAAAAAATATATGCATCGAGATTACAAACTGAAAAAGTGCATTCCAGAATTCAAAAAATATATATATTTTTTGAAAATTGATGCACTGACACAAGTTAGATTCAAACATTTCTATGTAAACACAATCTGAAAAAGTGCATTCCATAGTAACAAAAATTAAGTTTAAATGATTTTGGCTTATGGTTCCATTCAACCTTTTCACTAAAGTAAATGAGGTTCAAACATAAGCACGCTGTGCTGCATTCACGGTGTAACGGAAATACCCTGTTCCCACATTTGCTAGTCGTTCTTTCGGCCTTTATAAGTTCATGTTTCTATTGTTTATGTGTAACGTGGAAAAATACTGTGGATATCAATTCAAGTAAGCAACTACCAAAATTATGACCAAGTTAACAAGTTCTTTTCCGACATCCCAGTCAGAAAGCGTTTCTCTGATTATGCCAAGGTCACTTGAACGCAGCATTCACTGCAGGCTATTCAGGTCTCATAGTGGGAGCGGGGCACTGCCGTGCTGACAAGGTTATATATGTTATTGGGGCTATTCGTCATGATATCGGAGTTATTGGAATGACGTACTAATTTCCGATATACCGAGTCATGCAGTACTTATGTACCCCCCCCCAAAAAAAAAAACCATTTGAATGTGAGGTCTATGTGAGGTTTTTATGTAAAAACAAATATCTATGTGGTTATTGTATTTTCATTATTCTTAAATATTGATTGTGGGGTACTGGCTTCTGAACAGTATTGTCAGGCAGGCTCTAATTTGAATGTTGGATTTTGGCCATTGAACATGGATTGTTTCCAGCCACAGCTGTGAAACTAATGGAGATTTAATTCCATATGTTTGCAGGCTCTCAAAATCAATTTGCCATAAATCTGAGAGAAATTTATGTTTGTGGGTGTAATAGTTTGACAGTATTGGTTGTTTATCTCTTTTCCTTCCAGATAAAACAGGAAGGACTGCAGTGGAACTCTAAACTGACACCAGCATCTTCCTCTATCACTGCTCCCACCCTCCTCCCATCCACCCGCTGCTCTTACTGGTTGCCTCCACCTCTGCTTAACATGGCAACTATCTTCCCACTCTGGCAGTGCCACTGACCTCCACCCTGGACTACCACCATGGAGAGGAAACGCAGAAAGAAATTAATCTAGCTGCGCAGGCCGTTTGCAGAATGGACTCATTTTTAGAGCTTTGGACCTGAAATGCTCTGTCGCAATCCCTGAACCACGTTTTAGCTGCTCTTTTTTTGTCTGAAACAGCACGCCTGCTGCTAAAGTTTCAACGGGCCTGCTCAAATTGATAGTTTACACTACGTCACAACTCAAAATGCTCCTGCTTCCTGTGTGGGCATCCATGCTTCTGGGGCTGTTGGTGGGCTTCCTGCCTTTGGTGGGGATGGAGCCAACAGGAGGAGCCAAATCTGGCTCTGACCACACCCCCAACTCAGAGCCCCTCCCTTCATCATCTGGCTCCAACTGCTCCGAGTTAACCCTCAAACTGGAGTTCTCATCCAAGGTGGTGGAACACGGTAAGAAGAAATGATGTTGAAACCCTGTATTTAAACAATTCTTGAGTCCGCACTGGAATTTCTGGAGGTTGTAGTGAAAGATTCTGCCAAATTCTGCAGGGAAGTCAGAGAATATCAGGGATAGGAATGTCCCGATCATGCTTTTTTTTTTGCCCTTATGAAAGTTACTGGAGTCCGTTGATATTGAGCACACAATGCCCGACCTAGATCTACCTTTAAATTAGTCATTATGTTTATGCGTCATGGAAACAACCAAGAGAGAGACCAACTTTAGCGACTTTCTCACTAGATTTAGTAACTTTTCTGACCATCTTAGTGACTTTCATTCAGAAAAAGCGAATAGCGACAGATTTAGCCACTTATTCAGACCATCAGAGAAAAGGCAAGGGTTAAATCATAATTCATTAATTCCCATGCACACTGCTCAGTGTAATCTCAGTCGACGGCTCTTTTGCCAACAGCACTGGGGTCTCTCCCTCTCCTCTTGTGCCGTGTGCAGGCAGTTTAGTAGGTGTGGGACATGTTTGACCTTGTTTCTTTCTGGATTTCTGGATTAGTGTGTTCCTATAGCTTATATGTATAATAGTTTGTTTGATCTTCACCCTTTTGTAGATAAAAAAAATACGTTTCTACTTCAAATATACAATGATCCTTTTGGTGAGTTTGTGATTGCTTAGCTTAATAAGAAAAACGTTCAAAGTGTGTGTATTTAAATTTCCTTAACCACATACTGTTTCTGGTATGTGGTTAAGGGAATTTACATACACACACTTTGGTTTGCATTTGCACTGCAGTGTACAGCCATACATTTATCCAACAGTTAGAAATAAACAAGAAACAGTAACCCAACCACTGACTAAAAGAATAATGAAAACCTAGTCTGATTTTCAACATTTTATTGAGATATAATTACAGGGAACATCTAGCAGACCTTGGGTGGCGGACCAGAGTGAGTCAATGAAGTGATGCAAGTTACTGAAATACAGTTATTAAACTATATTCATTATGTAGAATGGAAAAAAAAGAATTTAAATTTGGGACTGTGGTTGTTAGATCTGGGACAGTTGAAAGCAGAAGCAAATCAACAGAATGTTGTTGTTTTTCCAATCATCTGTGTCAGGGACAGAAAAAAGGAAAGAAACTGAAAAGCTAATATAAAACACCTGATGCCAGATTTTTCAGTAGCGCTTCATTTTACATGTTGGTAAATTTCATGGTAAGTAGGCGGTAATTAGCAAGCAACATATTTGAAACCTCATGAAATTACCCCCAAATTACATTTAGCCATAGATTTATTGAACCTTACCCCAACATTATTTAATAATGATATTCCCTGTAAACTCAGCTGGTCAGTCCAACTGTGTAACAAATTCCTCAATGTCTTATTATTTTATTATAACCATAAATTGCAAACTACCAACAAATACAATGGCATAATCAAGAATCATGTTAATAATTGTCCATTGCTTGCTTATTGGGGCCTGATAATAATGGCTTCAGATCACTCAACAGGCTAACTAACAATAAAAACTGTAACAGCACCAACAAGGCATAAAAACAATACTAAAGTGTTACCAATTAATTGACAACAGGCACTTGGTTTACCAATGATTTCTCAGTGTAATACTTTATTGATTCCAGAAGAGCTTTTCTACTTTTTCACGTATATATTTTTGGGGCATTTTTCCTTTGTATGCAGCTCAAGCACCCGTCATCAGTGTGGATTCGGGCCAACAAAGAACCTGACCCCACTTTAATTGTGTGTCCAATAAAGTGTTGCTCAGCTCACAACACACTGTTTATTAGCACATCTCCTTCCCTGTCTGGTCTTTAAAACACCCTCTTCTCCCCTGTCTGTCTCCACAGAGTACATCATAGGATTTACAGGGTACTTCTCGGCCAAAGCTCGCAGCCTGTACATCAGCAGCGCCCTGCGGAACGCCGGGGACGGAGCGCTGGAGTGGCACATTGTTCCCAGAGAAAACCCTGCCTCCGACTTCCCCAGTGACTTTGAGCTGGTCCACATCCGTCAAGCTTCACCCAGCAGCCTGCTGACCTTAGAGGACCACCCTTACATCAAGAGGGTGACACCGCAACGCAAAGTGTTCCGCATGCTCAAATACTTTCCCTGTGAGTCTGACAATATGGTGTTACTGTGCAGGAATAAGAATCACAGTGTCTCTGAGGTTGGCACGTCCACCCAAGAAATATAAAACTCTGCAAAGATACAGAAAGCTGTTTGTCTGCCACAGTTGTCTCTTTGTTTATTGAATCAGGGGATGCATTTCTCTCTCCACTGTGTCTGTGGTGTAAGAAAGGATTGTGTATCTTAATGGGAAGTGCAGGCCAGCTAGGGGGTGTTGATGCTGCACATGGTGTGTGTGTGTTGTGTTGGGGGATGGGAAGAAGGACAGAGAACGTCTGTGTTTGCTCACCCTGGGAGGGAGTAGGTGAGTCAGTGTGGTGGGGCTTGCCTGGACAAGTGGGGGGGGGGCACGCCTTGTCCCTGGCACTGGATGAAAGACTTCAGTGTGCCCGTGGTCTGCATATACACATGTAGTATCAATATGGAGGCCATGTGTAGTGCATGGACCCTGAAGAACAAGGCAGACGCTCGTAGTCGGTGTCTTTTCACAGTTTGAAATCTCTGAAACTTGATCTGCAATCACATTAACTTTAAGGATTTGAGGTAATAAAATGTTATACGTCATGTTATTTAAGTTAAGCATTACAACAATTATCACTTGCAACATTTTATGTTTGCTTGTGGCGCATCGCACTTTCACACATGAATTCAGCTTTCTCTGTTATCTCAGTTCAAGTGTCAGACCGTTTCCAGATTTTTACATTGGTCTGTATTGTCAGATTTTTCAGTGGGTGACATGATGATACACACAAATGTCTTTACACACTTAAAAACAAAGAAAAGTGTGTCAACTGGAATTACACATTTTGTGCAACTCTTTTACATGCTAATGTAATAGAAAAGACTAAGTAAATAATGCACAGGACTGCACGATGTGACTCAGAAACAGGTGCACATGGTTAATGTTGCTAGGGGACTGAACCACCAGTTAACCACATTGTACAGCCATAGACTGTGACATACTGTTTATACTAAGTGTGATGTTAAATTGGGTATGTAGTGCGTTTCAGCTCTATAGTATATGAGAAATGTCCATATTATATATATATATATATATATATATATATATAAATATATATATATAAAATTATATTATTATATTAGATATATATTAGATTAGCAAGAATTTCTGATTATGGGGCGTAAGCTCACTGCAAATACTCACCTGCCCCATAAAACATTGCAGTCACTTCTGACTGGTCTGACTGAGACAGATGGTTTCAGACTTTTTACTATTTTCATCTGCTATTTCAGTACTAAATCATGTACATTTCGAATGTTGGCAGTTTTACAAAAATTGATGGTGAATCGATAAAGTGCTCAAACCCTTTCTGAGTTGAGAAACTCCAGAAGTACCTGCTGGGGTAGCTAGCAAGCCAGCCCGGAGGGGCTTTTCACCAGCTGCGACAGCTCACAGGCCCCTCTTGCCCCACGGTCACACAGACCACTGCAGCCAACACAGCAGACGACTTCAGCAACGTTTCTATCTGCTGTTCCGTATTTATTCTGTTTAGTTAAGCGCTGCTTTAGGTAAACTTTTTAAGATAACTTACAGCCAGAGATAGCAACATCCTCTGCCTCCTCCTCCTCCTCCTCCTCCTCCTCCTCCTCCTACTAAATGAGCTATTTTCATTCAGCAGTAGCTTGGACCAGAATGCTGTGAGTTGTCCGGAGTAGTCAGACCGATCTCCAGTGTGAACAGTCAGCGTCCTTAATCGTGCATTTAGTAAACAATATGGAGTACATACTGATTGAGATGTTGTGAGTTCGAACACACCCTACATTAAAGAACTTAAACGGCTGCACTCTGGAAATGCTGCAGAGCCAGTCTTGCCATGTTTAGCTCACTAAGTAACCAAATGGGTTGTTTATTAACTGTGAATTTATTCTGAATGCGAGAGCGAGCATAAGTGCATGTTAGAAATCATTTACGTTGCATGCACTGAATGTATTTGAAGCAAGTTGAAGCGATCAGTGGTTGGAAAGTAGATATAGTGGCTATCTGGATTGCTCCAGATAAGCCTTGAACCGGATTATAGAGTAGAATACCTAAGGAAAGATAAGTCCACTTTCACTGGATATGTGTGCATGAGTCAGGTTGTGAGGCAGCTACCTACTGAGCTAATTAATTAGTAAGAAAGATGAGAGATAAGACCTCACCCCTGCTTTTTACTCCTATTTTAAAGGCATAAAAAGGCCTGCAGGGTGCTGCTGCTGTTTGCTAATGACCTCGTGATCGTTTGTTCTGTCTGAGTGATTCAAATTGTGATAAGATCGGTTCAAATGAGCCCGGTGTGATCAGCCTCACATCACAGCTAGAAGGTGGAAGGAGGGAGTGAGACAGAAAGAAAGTAAGCAGGAGGAATAAGTTGAAATGAGGGGTCACAACGTGATAAGCATGATTAAGTTAACAGGGAGATTGTGTTGTCTGCAGCAGGGGCAGAGAAGTGGCAGACAGCAGTAACAGGGCAGGTAATTATTAGCTGCAGTCTTTCATGGAGGGGGACTTGTTCATTTAGCAACATAAAGTGACAGTATTTCTGTGTCCAAGTATAATTAGAAGTCATAAAAGCAACATAGTCTAAAGTCTAAAATTTAAACCTACAGTCACCAAATAAGACTTTCTTACCTTTTGCCTAAACACATTTGGCTTGTGCTCTTTCTCCGTAGCCCCTGAACCTGCCGCACCCTGCAACGCCACCCGTGGGACGCAGAAATGGCAGTCGTGGCAGTCGTCCCGCCCTTTCCGACGAACCAGCCTGTCACTGGCCTCAGGTTTCTGGCACGCCACCGGTCGCCACTCCAGCCGGCGTCTGCTACGGGCCATCCCCCGCCATGTCGCCCAGATCCTGCAGGCAGATGTTCTCTGGCAGATGGGACACACCGGTTAGACCTTGGACCTCTTACTTCTTTGATAGCGGGCCAGGGTAGTGGGGACAAACATCTGCTGCTAAATTTGTACATGATCAAACTGAAATTAAGTATTAATATATTATATTAAAGAATGCTCATGACAAATTAAAGCTGCAGTACGTAATTTTTAAATTTTTTATAAAAATCACTTTTTGTCATATTTTCAGAAACTTTCACTATATCCTGACAGTAGAACATGAGTCAGATAATCAGGTTCCTCTGGCCCCTCCTAGTGCTCCTAGTGGCATATGAAAAAATCCTCCGGGCCTGAACGAAAACAACCAATCAGAGCCAAGAAAGATAATTGATTGTTGAGTCTCATTCTCAGGACTTCAAATACCAACACTGGAAATGAGACATAACAATTGGCTATCTTCAATCAACCAACCAAAAGCGTATTTCTGTCTTTTTCGGCTGAATAAGACTCAACAAACAACTATGTGTCTTGGCTCTGATTGTTAGTGTTTTTGTTTAGGCCTGATGGATTCTTGCAAATGAAATTGAAAATTAGGAGTGCTAGTACGAGCCAGAGGAACCCTTTTTTTTGCAGATTTAAGTGAGAATTTTTGTTGTTGTTTTTGCTCTTAAAATAGTATGCGCTCCTGGCAACTTGTTGTTATTGTTGACAGCTCATTTGCTGCAAATGCAACTAATGTAATGTGTGTGTGTCTGTGTCTGTGTCTGTGTCTGTCTGTGTGTGTGTGTCTGTGTGTCTGTGTGTGTGTGTGTGTGTGTGTGTGGTGGTGTGTGTGTGTGTGTGGTGTGTGTGTGTGTGTGTGTGTCTGTGTCTGTGTGTAAACAGGCTCTGGTGTGAAGGTGGCAGTGTTTGATACAGGCCTGAGTGAGAAGCATCCACATTTTAAAAACGTAAAGGAAAGGACCAACTGGACTAATGAGAAGACACTGGATGATGGTGAGGAGGAAGAACAGTGATGATGATGATGATGATGATAATGTAGATGTAGAAGGCTGTTCTGATGACTAGCAATGTAAATGATGAAGACATCAGTATGTTATTGATGAGGGTTATTACTAGGACTAAAGTATGGGGATGTACTGTGTATGTTGTGTATTGGAGGAAGGTGGAAGCCCAACTGTAGGCTCAAGTTGCACTGGGAGTGCTGGAACGAGACCAGAAAAAGTGTGTGTGAGAGATAATGATGGTTGGATGATCAATCTCTTGTCCTGTTTCTCAGGTCTGGGCCACGGTACATTTGTGGCAGGAGTGATAGCCAGTATGAGGGAGTGTCAGGGCTTTGCCCCAGACTCAGAGCTGCACATCTTCAGAGTATTCACCAACAACCAGGTACGTACATGCTCTCAACATACACCCAAATTCAATTATAGTAAAAAAAAATATTTTCTAGAAAAGATGTTAATTTGTGTTTTTGTGACTTAAAGGGATAGTTCAATATTTTTTACACACTATAGGCAGCCTTCTGCACAAGTCAGTGATGTATCACAGTCTGTCTTAAATCAGATTCAGATGTATTATAAATGCTTTGGACTGTTTGACGTATTTGTCTCTCTCCACCTTCCAGGTATCGTACACCTCGTGGTTCCTGGATGCTTTCAACTACGCCATCCTCAAGAAGATTGATGTGCTCAACCTCAGCATCGGGGGGCCTGACTTCATGGACCACCCCTTTGTCGACAAGGTAAGACAGTAGTTCTAAGGGCGGGTAATATTGTCAGAAAGATATACACAGCAATGCTACAAGTCACATGGTAACATTTGGCCAACTTGGATTGATATTTAAGCAGGTCGATGAGAACTGGTAGCAGATGTTTTTATGTTTGTACAGGCATAAAAATAGTCCCTCAACCACCCTTCCTCCCTCTAAGTTACACCCTTTTCACAATGTCTTAATGAGCTAGAAAATAAGCAGGTCAACTGTCAGCCAAAACAGGACAGACCAGGCGAGCAGACAGGCGCATGGCATATTTCCACAAAATGTTCACTGCTCACAGATGAGCACCAAACCTATTTGTCATCTGCTACATTAAACTCTGAGTGTAGAAATTTCTCATTTTGTTGTTGACTGCCAATTTTTAACACAATAAATGAGTGTTGTTTGATTGACAGGTTTGGGAGCTCACTGCTAACAGAGTGATCATGGTCTCTGCTATCGGCAACGATGGACCTCTGTACGGGTATGCTAATCACTTTAATTTTAATCCAAACAATGGCATTTATGTTGATGAGGAATTACCTTTGAGCGAACATTTAATCCTAAAATACTGTGATCTCTATTCATCTCACTCCTGTTGTAGTCAGGGTATCTGCAGGTTGAAAAGTGTTTGAAAAGCACTGAAATCAGTTTCCTCAAGAGAAAGCCTTCTCTTTTTAAATTTTATTTATAAAGGACTTGAATATTTTTTCTTACATGCTTCAGACAATAATGTACTTATCAGTTATATAATCAGTTTATATAACCACTTGCACATTGTTTTTTATTTGGGTTGTTGGGAAACATCATTACATACATCATTCAACTACAAGTGGGACTGGTATGACTGGATAGTGAATGCAGGAGCACCACTAGACCTGCAGCATTATCCATATATCCAATTGCCACTTGTAGCTAAATATGGGATGATATGAAAATATCATGTCAAGATTATCCTGGCCAAAACAATTGCGGATGACAATATTGTCGCAAAAAATCATCAAAAAAGTACAGGAATCAATTTACCTTACATTTAGTGAATTGCATCACAGAGAGACACCTCATTTCTTTGTCGTTTTTAGTTTGAAATCAGTAGTATTTCCACACATCAGGTTTAACCAACTTTCTGGTGGATACAATCGGCAAGCGGAGCCTTCAGCCAAGGTGACGGGCTTGGGTTTTTGGAAAGAGTGTGCTCCTAATTTTAACAATTCAAAAATAAATCAGGGCTGTACACTAGTGAACTAGACAGCTTTTTGAAGTCACTCATGTGAGGATATTCTCAGTGATTCCAGTAATGCAAATTCACCACGTTTTTTTATCGCGATAATATCGCATATCCTTCCACCGTTTCAGCAAGTTACATCGTCTCACTTTTTGTGAGTTTCATCATCAGCATCATCAGTGTGCTTTGTAACCAAATCACTTCACCATTAGGTCAAATGGATGTTTCACTGATTTTTGGAGTGTTCTCATTGTAAAATAATTTCTCTGTTGTTTAATGAAATCCTTATTTAATTATGCAAAAACTGCACTATTCTGACTGCCTTAATTATCAAAATGACCCCCTGGCCAGCTGGGTTTTATGACCCTTCTGAACATCTGTTCTTCCTTAATTAAATCATTAAAAGGACAAAACAAGTAATAGAGGCTTTTTTTTGTTGCACTCTCATGCAGGGGAGATGGAACTGTAAACGTTCCTTCAAGTCTTGTATATGAAGTAAAGTACGTTTCTCTCCGTCAGCACCCTGAACAACCCAGCAGACCAGATGGATGTGATCGGGGTCGGAGGGATTGACTTTGAAGACAACATCGCCAGGTTTTCCTCCAGAGGCATGACAACCTGGGTGAGTTACGCCAGGAACACACACACACACTCTGCTACACACCCGCACAGACACACGCCGTATCATTTATCAGTTTTAGAGCAGACATCTACTCCAGAGACCTACCCTGTGCTTTAGAAACCAGTCAACCAAGATGTAAGCTCCTGATCTCTCATCCACATCCCATCAGCCATTCACACACACACACACACACACACACACACACACACACACACACACACACAATACTGTACCTACACACACCACTTTTTTTATCAGTCATAGCCCAAAGCAGACGATTAGGGCTTCACTCCAGTCAGGGCTTCACTCCAGTCAGTCTCTCTGCCCCCTCAACTACTGTCAGCCAGCCATGAAGAGGCCAGAGGGAACAGACAGCAGTCGCTCACCCACTCAGCTCTACGGCCTCAATACATCAAAAACAGTTCAAAATACAGCCTTTCTAAACGCAGCTTTTTCAGCTTTTGTTCCTTTTCATTTTCTCGCTCTCTGTTTTCTAGTCATTTTCACTTTCTGCTCAGTTCCTTCCTTTTCATCTCTACCTTTCTGTTTGTTGGCATTGTGTAATGGTATGCATCTAACTGCCAGTCACCATTACATGTATGATCAACACCCGGTGTCTGCAGGATGCCCATACTTACAACAGTAGTGGAACTTAATGAGTTGTATATTGGCTTTAAAGGACCAGTGTGTAGGATTTATTTTGGTATTTGACGACCTAGGAATGAGAGTCAGCAAGGAGCTCTAGGAGTCGTCAGAGGAACCTGTATTTTCACAGATTATCTGTCTTGTGTTCTACTGTCTGTAGAGAAAGTTTCAGCAAATATGACAAAAAGTGATTTTTCTAAACGTTTCCTACTGCAGCTTTAAATGGCCTCTCTGACCACTTGATGTAGGCGTAATGACTTGAATTGAAAGATACGTTTAAGAGTGTGAATAAGAGCTATTTTAAAATTTAAATTACAGCTTTAGTCCTTGCTGTCCAGAAAAGAACTGATGTATGACGTACCGAGCATTTCAGTTGAGAACAATGGCATGTTACACTCTACAGGGACAAGTAAATGTTGTGTTTAAATACTCTGTCTGTATCTCATGATCTGTTTCTGTCCCCCATTCTCTGTGCAGGAACTGCCAGGCGGTTATGGCAGAGTGAAGCCTGACATCGTCACCTACGGTTCTGGCGTTCGGGGATCAGGGATGAAGGAGGGATGTCGTTCTCTGTCTGGCACCAGTGTGGCCTCCCCCGTAGTGGCTGGTGCCGTTACTCTCCTGGCCAGGTCAGTATCATAAACTGGACTATGTTGTCATTAAGTGTCAGGAGTTTGATCTTTTTATGGTTAGCAGAAAGGCAAGAATCTTAAACTGCTGGAGTTTAACCACCATCAGGTTGACATTTTTGGGTTTTAGTGAAATCTCCCTATTGATGGAATGTCATAAAATTAGGCACAAACCCTCTAAGGATAAATTGTTTTAACTCAAGCGCCATGATCAGGTTTTTTTGCTTTACGACCAAAATACCGCCTCAGCTGTACTTTGTTTAATGCTAATTAGCTAAGTTTAGCATGGTAACATGCTGAACTAAGACAGTGGACATGTTAAAGAGGACCTGTTATGCTAATTTCCAGGTCTTTACTCTTAGACTGAGTTGCTGCTGTAAGCTATTTAGCCATGCAGCTTACTTAGCCATCCTACTAGGTGACTCTGGCCGGACTGGGTGCTCAGAGCGGCTGGGCAGTGTCGGGAGTTCAACGTTAAATCTCTAGTACAGGAGCTCTGAGCTCCCAGTCTGTTAGCCGTTAGCAGCAGCTAGCTGTTAGCTAAAAGCAACAAGTAAAGCTGTTATGTCCATCAGTAAACCAGAATATATGTAACCAAAAAAACACTTTCTACATACAAAGCTCCTGAGCAGAGCGGTCAGATAAGCTGGTCCCTGTACTCGGTGGGTGTGGTCAACCGTGCTCTGCCTGGAGCAGTTAACCATATTAGCCAACCTCAGCGTGTCACGTAAAGGAGAAAAAGGCTGAATTAATAAACATCAGCATGTCATCATTGTTATTGTGAGCATGTTAGCATGTTGACATTAATATTTGTGTGCAGCCTCACAGAGCAGCTGGCGAGGCTGCAGAGTCGTCGTCCTGATCATTTAACAAAGGAAGGCAGATTTCTCAAATGTTAAGTGCTGTCAGTTTTCCATAATACAATATTCCAAAATTGTGCTTCAGATCATGAACCATTGACCAGATGACTGATCACAGCTTTCGTACCCTGACAGTTTTCGATAGAGTGTGTGTGGCTCCTGTGCAGAAATTCTGCCTGTCCTCGCCCCAGGGTCGGATACAGAGCAGCAGCTCTAAAGCTGGTAGAAATATTGTGTCTCATTCAGGGACCGGTCAGCTGGACTGATATTTGCAGTTCTCTGTTTGGAGAGCGATCTGACTTATAATGAGAAAATCCAACTCTCTGCAGTCTTGTGGTGTTCTAAGGATTCAAATTGAAATTGTTGTATTAGTTGTATTCTGGCAACCTAGTCATGAAAACTTCTTCTGTGGTGGTGGGCAAGGGATGACACTCGAGTTGAGGGTGCCGTCACGTTTAGTTTTTTTTAAGATGTGTGGTGAAATTATGTCTTGCTCTGTGATCCTACATGAGCAGGCAGTGCAACACGTCCCAGAGGATGAAGGTGTGTCACTGATTAATGTCTGCTATTATTCTCAGTCTGTCAATATCCCGTCTTTACACAGTGAAAGCCCTCTTTTTTTTCATAGCTGTAGCTGAGCCGATTTTGTGAGCTCATGTTGCAGGATTAAACATCATACCACCCTTGTTGACAACAGGCACCTCTCCCTTCTCCCAGGAGAAACACACACACACACACACACACACACACACACACACACACACACACACACACACACACACACACACACACACACACACACACACACACACACACACACACACAGAAATACCAGCCCATCCGTCCTTTTTCCTCCAGCACTGTTCACAAAGCTGTGGAACCTGACACCAGGAGACTTGCAGATACAAACTAATCCAACCTGTCCTCCTCTGTCCTTCAGCACCGTCCTGAACAGGGAGCTGGTGAACCCAGCCTCCATGAAGCAGGCTCTGATCGCCTCGGCCCGCAGGCTGCCAGGGGTCAACATGTTTGAGCAGGGCCACGGGAAACTAGACCTGATCAGAGCCTACCAGATTCTCAACAGTTACAGACCTCAGGCCAGGTAGATGTCTCAAAGCACACAGATACAAAACGAGATCCTAAATGAGCACTGATGTACTAATGTAGGACACAAGTTCATGGATTCAGAACCCTGTGTACACATAAAGACAGGCAAAGTCTGTTCCTTAGCTACAGTGATCTAACAGTTTCCATAAATGTTGTGCTGCACATGTAGGCGTATACGCGACAATTACATAACACTAAAGACCAAGCCTGTGCAGTTGCAGATTTCTCTCTTGAGAGGATTAGAAATTTTGACAAAGAGATTTTTTGAATCATAAGAATGTTCTGTAGTGGTTCCAGTAATATTTGTTATTAAAGTGTGCTGAAGCAGATCACATAAGCTGCGTTTGGGGAAATAAATAATAGAAATGCAGTTGCTGGAACTTTCTACTCATATCTTTTTATTTGAAAGAGAACTTTTTCTTCTTCTAATTATCTATTAACATGACACACTCTGTCCTGAGTGTGTTGTTAGGGTGGTTGCCCTTCCTGCCTCTCAGCGCATGGAGAGCTGTTTGGAGGAAGTAAAGCACTTCAAAGCACTGCCCCCTTCCTTTGTGTGTCCCTGTTGTAGGGATGCACAAAATCGATTTTTTTTCCAGTTGATATTATAAAACGATATTTAACTGCTTCTCATGGCCCATACAGCTCAGCTAACTGATAATTTTGTATTTTAAAACACTTGATGGCAGGAAAACACTGAGATGTAGTGAGCAAAGATGGATTATTTGATGTACCACTGCTCTGTTCTTACCAGATCTAACTGACATCACAGTTCTGACTCTTCAAATATTCATCAAGTACATCTGCAGCAATTCAGCATTTTTCCTCTTGCCGTGAGCGAATCAGGCAGGAAAACACACTAATAATCTACTGTAAAGGATATAAATGATGTATTAAGTGCACGGAGAAATGCTTATTATATAAACAGCCAGGGTAATCTTAAAAGCACAACGGCCAATCAGGAAACTCCAACGCTCGACCGGACCAATAGTCACTACTATTGCATTTATGAAGCTTGCTGTGGTCAAGCCAAAAACATTTACTGTACAGACAAAACATACAGACAAATTTAACAAATCATTCCAATCTTCAGTCATCTCTACACCAGAATATTCCAGGGGTTTGTCAAACCATTGTATAGAGAATTTGCCTTCTTAAATCACGCAGTTCAACCTCAGTGGTCAGAGCAAGAACACCAGCTGTCAACTGTGTGACTGAAGATCTACTAGAGCTACTAGATAAGCTAGACATAAAATATGATTCAGGGCCAAAGTTTTTATTTAGCACACAAATATGACCTTGATTTTAGCACTTGAACAGGATATTTTCAAAGCACTTTTCTTCAGAACAGACACATTTATTCGTGTAAAGGCCATTTTGGGTGCTTTATGTTTTTTACATTAACACATTTAAAACAGAAACACTTACAGGGATACAGTGGCAAGCACTTAGTAAAAGAGGCAAAAGTAATTTTGTCTCCAGTTTTCTTGTTTCTGCACCTCAGGTGGTTAGTCTCGGACAGAGAGCACATAATAAGCTTGTTTCAGAAAGCTAACAGCATGCCTTGTCTCCTGCCAGTCTGTCTCCCAGCTACATCGACCTGACAGAGTGTCCGTACATGTGGCCTTACTGCTCCCAGCCCATCTACTATGGAGGAATGCCCACCATCGTCAATGTGACCATTCTCAACGGCATGGGTGTCACTGGCAGGATCGTGGACAAGGTACATACACACCTTTACTACATAAAGGAAAACTCTTTTTTTCTGCTTCCTTTAGTTAAATGCTACTCGACAAAGAACACACAGTTTACTTAATATTATTTCTTGAGCTGAGTAAGAGGACAAGTGAAGGACGAGTTTCATCCTTTTCTGACCTTTTGGCTTTGCACCGAGATGAACTCAGAGTTGTTAAAAAAGGCCGTCTAAAGGTTGCTCTCTCCTGTTCAGCCCATCTGGCAGCCCTACCTGCCCCAGAACGGCGACCACATCGATGTGGCGGTCTCCTATTCGCCGGTGCTGTGGCCGTGGGCCGGCTACCTGGCTGTGTCCATCTCTGTGGCCAAGAAAGCGGCATCGTGGGAAGGGGTCGCTCAAGGTCATGTGATGGTCACAGTGGCGTCGCCTGCAGAGAATGATGTGAGTCACTGCTGCAACACCTGAGCTCTGTCTTCTTTAGCTTTTTCCAGAGCCGTACCTCCCATATAGAACTTTATTAGACTGATGTACCACCACATCCCCATCAGATGAGCTAGAGCACATCTTCATCGACACCCAAATGTGTTTTCTTACATTGATTTTGAAGTGGATGTTAAGTGACACTAGTGATATTTGGGTCATCAAGTTTGCAGTCGTACTACTGCCAGTTTGAGAGACATTAGCTGAACCTGAACTATGTTTTACTTTTAGCTATATAGTTCAACTGTTTCATTACTTTTACTTTTCATTTCCTTCAGCCAGTTATTTGAACCATTTCTCCATTACTTTTTGCTAACTATTTTGACTTGTCTGCACTCTTAATGACAGCATGTGGCTTTACTGTGTCCTCTTCAGTTATGACTCATTCATCTTCTTGACCTTTCACCCCTTGCAGTCTGAGGTGGGAGGTGAGCTGACCTCCACAGTCAAACTGCCCATCAAGGTGAAGATCGTGCCAACTCCCCCTCGCAGTAAGAGGGTGCTGTGGGACCAGTACCATAACCTGCGCTACCCGCCCGGCTACTTTCCTCGAGACAACCTCCGCATGAAAAACGACCCACTAGACTGGTGTGTGTGTGTGTGTGTGTGTGTGTGTGTGTGTGTCCCCACCTTTTGATTTGGTTTAAAAATTAGTTTTGGTTTAATTCTCTTTAGCTCTCTGTTTGGACCTTTTTCATCCCTGCTGGTTATTCTATGTTTCCAGGAATGGAGACCACATCCACACTAACTTCAGGGACATGTACCAGCACCTGAGGAGTATGGGATACTTTGTTGAGGTGCTCGGAGCGCCCATCACCTGCTTCGATGCCAGCCAGTATGGTAAGAATGCCGAGACTGAAAACGCACAACAGCATTAGAAGACATCTCGTGTTTGCTTGTGGTCGAGCGAAAGACAAAACCGGGTTGTTTGATGCTGTGTGTCTGCAGGCACATTGCTGATGGTGGACAGTGAGGAGGAGTATTTTCCAGAAGAGATCACCAAGCTGAGGAGAGACATCGACAACGGCCTGTCGCTCATTGTATTCAGTGACTGGTACAACACCTCGGTCATGAGGAAGGTCAAGTTCTATGACGAAAACACCAGGTATTCAACTTCATTTTACTACTGCTGGTTACTGCACTGACTCTGGCCAATGTAAGAGGTCTTACTGTCAGAGGGTCCTATATGAACGCAACGTTTTCAGACAAAATTAGAACAGTTTTTGTTATTTTACGTGACAGATTTCTGTATATTTCTTTTGTTTCTGCTTTGAAGTGCGCAGTGTACTGGTTGTTTGCTCATGTTGCTAGTACCTCCAATCAAATCTGATCAATCCACACAGCGCTGGTGAAGAGAGAGTCTCAGAGTTTTTGGCTGTTCAAATGAATTATTAAGTGCCAAATATTTAATTTGGTAGAGAAATGCTTTAAAAGTTGTTAGACTTAAATCAAAGTCAACAGAAGCAATGTGAAGCTCTACTGCAAAAATTCTCACAGTACACGGTCTTCAAAAACAGCTTGCAAATCTTAAAAACCAGACGATTCTCAGGCAAGTTCTGAAGCGTTCCCATTCCTGCCCCAGCACACAGTGAGTTACACTGTGAGCTGCAAAATATTCATATCCATACATTAAATCAGGTGTATTTATTAGGGGTGCCAAAAGTGAAATCGATTGAAATTACATCTCGAACTTCAAACTCAAAGGTAGAATCGACGATGCAGCCACACCCCCAATGTCACGTCCAGCATGTATGCCCCGACGCAAAAACTTAAAATGCACATTGATAAGTACATATTCCATGAACACTAACCTTGAGTCTCTTCAGAATACGAAAAGAATGAATGATAAATCCGTTTATCATTCAGTCTTTTCTTCACATCTCTGCAGATCATTTTAAAGGAGTGTAAAACTGCTCTGCTCTGGAAAAAAAAAATTAACTTAACTGCAGCCTCAGCAGTTGCAGACAAATTCAATAAGTACTGCAGAGTGTTTTCTGATTAATTGTGTTTTTATTGATACTTGACCTGTATAGTAGTGCACTAGTGCTCTGACAGTGATTTCTTATATCTGGAAGCTCCCTTTGTCCATTTCTTCGGAATGATCTATGTGTCTTCTCCCTCCTTTATGAGACAGTTCAATGATTAAACAGCTATTGCCTCAATAGCTTTATCATCTTGTAAGGATAGCCAGATAAAGTGTGTTGCGCAGCTAACAGCCTGCTGTGTCACAGTTTCTGTCCGGCTCCAGACTCTATTCACGCCTCCTCGCTCTGCAAAAGATGGAAGTTATCACGACTTTTCACATTCAGAGCTAAAAATTCCTCCGACTCCTCGCAGCTCCGTTCGTATCCCGCTCAAGCTGTCGCACAAAATCCACAGGATTAAAAATCTTAAATGCAGCTAAATATAGTCTTTGTGGCTTCGAAATGTTGTGCTGAGTAATTCAGTTTTAATTGAATGGCCATGGTTCATTTGGGATTTGTTCATTCACTGCTGCCTTTTCTGGACAAATCAACCCTCACACAGAAAACTGAATTAGGAATCTTTCCCTTCATCACTGTACTGCTATTGTAAAGCGTGTTTGTTTTGTCATTTTTTAAAAACCTGTTGACAACCTGGAGGTCTTTTGAGCCAGGGTCTGTTGCATTCTGTGTTGGTTTACTTCTGTGTTTGTAAAGCCTAGTTGTGTTGTTGCAACAGTGGGTGATTTCCTGATTATTTATGTGGAGTCATATTTGGGTTGCCTAATGAATGGTTTTACAGAAGATTTTCTTGATGTGACCTGCAGGCAGTGGTGGATGCCAGACACAGGGGGCGCTAACGTTCCAGCCCTGAACGACCTGATCTCAGTGTGGGGGATGGCTTTCAGTGACGGGCTGTACGAGGGAGACTTCACTTTGGCTGATCATGACAGTAAGACACACACAGACCCTCTTCAGTTTGCGTTACTCCTCTGGTCTTTGATGCTGTTATTCAGTTTTTTTAGAAGATAAAGACCGTTGTTTCTCTCTATCTCAGTGTACTATGCCTCAGGCTGCAGCATTGCCCGTTTCCCAGAAGATGGAATAGTGATTGCCAAAAATCTGAAGGACCAAGGTACCAGCACCCCTCTTAAAGTATTGAGCCCAGCTCAGTGTAGCAGAGTGCTGGCCAGCAGCCATGCAACTTTTTAACCTGTGAGTCAGATTTAACAACACTGCTCTACTGTGTGTGTGTGTGTGTGTGTGTGTGTGTGTGTGTGTGTGTGTGTGTGTGTGTGTGTGTGTGTGTGTGTGTGTGTGTGTGTGTGTGTGTGTGTGTGGCTCACAGGTCTGGAGGTGTTAAAGCAAGAGACCGCAGTGGTGGAGGGGGTTCCCATCCTCGGACTATACCAAACGCCATCTGATGGGGGAGGTCGCATCGCTCTGTACGGTGATTCTAACTGTATAGACGACAGCCACAGACAGAAAGGTGACCTCTCTTTGTGTGTGCATGCGTGCGCTGCCGCTAATGGAACAGCTGAGCTGACTGAGTAATATTTTGTTTCGCGTCTCGTCTCTCAGACTGTTTCTGGCTGCTGGACGCTCTCCTTCAGTACACTTCCTACAGTATGACCCCTCCCAGCCTCAGCCACTCCCACAGCAGGGTAGCCCCGCCCACAGGCACAGAGCACCCACTGCCACAGAGACTGGAAGGTGAGGACGCAAACTACACAATACATGATCAGACAGGTTGATTGATGTAGCAACATCGTATAACTTATCACTATTACTATTCTTCCAGGAAACCATCTTTATCGCTACTCCAAGGTTCTAGAGGCTCACCTGGGAGACCCTAAGCCCCGCCCACTACCAGCCTGCCCCCACCTGTCTTGGGCAAAGCCACAGCCACTCAATGAGACAGCACCTAGGTAGGTCTGATGAAACACTAATGCCTGCATTTAGGTTTGACGGGCTGTAATGCACGACGGTGCGCCTCGTTCACAGTGTGTGAACAAAACAGATTTACCAGCTGCGGAATGGACTTGTAGCTATCTTTTCGGTGCCGAGTTGTCGATGTTCCGGGTGGAGGAAAACTGTAGACCACAGCTCCCCTTCACTGAGACTGCAGCGTTAAAAAAACAGTCACACAAACGAGCTAATGCGGAGTGTCTCATTACGGCTGACGCTTCATCATAAACCCGGAATCATTAAAGAAGGAGGAATAAAGCTGGGGTTGAATGTGTCAATACCAGGCCGACTGTTGAATTATGTGACCATTTGTGACCAAGTGCTGTCCTTTATTGTCAGGAAAATGTCCTGGAAAGGTCCTGAGAAAATGTGAGTGTGAACCCTGGTGTGGTTAGACAATGGCAGAATTCCCTGCTAATTCCCAGGTGTTATATTTCTCAACATATCTGTCTGAGATTTCCTTCAGGGACAGCGTATACAGAGCAAGAGGCGTGTCTTCCCGTAGGTGGCCGACACGTTTCAGTGACACAGTGATACTTGGAGTCGGTCTCACGTGGTTGTAACATTATTTTTTTTTCTGGCAGCAGCAGTCTCTTTTTTTTTTTCCATCTCGTCAACACAAACAAACATTACACTGTAGACGTTCGAATCTGTCTCACCCTGTCTTTCTCTTCCTGTTTCTCTCCCCATCAGTAACCTGTGGAAGCACCAGAAGCTTCTCTCGGTGGATCTGGACAAAGTGGCTCTACCTAACGTGAGGGCTTACCGGCCCCAGGTCAGACCTCTGTCTCCTGGGGAGAGTGGGGCCTGGGACATCCCCGGAGGTAACACACGGTTACTTTAAGCCACTGGTTCCCACCCTTTTTCCTTAATGGAGCCCTTTTCTATCGCTGAGTAAACTGACACACCTGACGCGCTAACATGTTTTATGGATATTTCATATTATATTATGATTACTATAATTAACCCAAATAGTGAATCCAGTAACTGCAGGAATGTTGGGAACTCCTGCTTTAAGCAGTCTGGCTTGGGATTAGTTTTATAGCCACATTTCCGTGTGTTTTAGTGTGTCTTAGCTTTTTGTAGCCAGCAGTGGATTACATTGTTTTAAAACCTTTAATTCAACTTAGCCGCAGCTTTTGATGTGGAAATGGTTTTAATACAAGACATGGAAGGATACATTTGTCGCCCCTCAGTTTTTATTTTTATTTTACAGCAGTAAGTGGCTGCTTATTATAAATGAGAGAATGTATAAAAGGCTTATCTTCAATAGAGCAGAAAGGTCTCATTTCTTGAGCCTGTCTCTTTAAAAATGGCATATGTGGCAGTATGCATTCATTAATATAAGAGCCAATAATAGGGAATGACAACAGTATGTAAGAATTAGGGCTGCACGGTTAATCGAAATATCATCCAAATCACAGAAGCTGCAGTTGTTTGATGAAGGTAAAATCTGTCACAGCAGCATTAGAGTTAGGCACTGGAGCTCTGAAGAGATTCTTCGGTATTACAGACCCCAACAAATGTCACATCATCATGATTTTTTCAGTGAGAATACAAACTATGGCCGTACATCATATCACATTCATAATATCTGTTCAGATAATCACAATATGACTTTTTGCCATATTGTAGCCCTAATTTAAAGTATCCATTATTTTGTGACCAGGAAGTTAGGTTACTGAGTATAGTGTTGCCATGGATACAGTGAACTAGACTGTGGACAGCAACGTGAGCCCAGTGTTATATAGGTTTACATTTTTGAAAATGAAGTTTGCTGAATGAAATATTAATTATTATTGTTATTTTTTACTGTGTGCCGAGTTCTTAAGAGCCACCATTCCTGAGTGAGTTACACTGTGAGCTGCAAATTTAGTCTCGTTCTTTATAAGACAAAATACTTTGTTACAAAAAAAAACACTTCAAGCTTGTAGTCATACATTAGATCAGGTACCCCCATCGCCCAAGTGTATTTACTGCATGCAGGTGTATCACGTGCAAGGCCGGAAGAAGTCATGATTCAGTGTTTTATATCAGTGAAAATGAAAACTGATACTGAACTGATAATCATTCCCGCTAGTCATGAATCATATCACAATATCTCTCAAAGTAATCGCAATTTGACTTTTTTACCATATGATGCAGCCCTAGTAAGAATAAGTGGTGACTGAGGAAGCCCCATGTGACCTGTGCCCCTCTGTCCCCCCCCCCCTCAGGGATAATGCCCGGTCGCTACAACCAAGAAGTCGGCCAGACCATCCCCGTCTTCGCCTTCCTGGGGGCGATGGTGGTCCTGTCCTTTTTCGTGGTGCAGCTCACGAAGGCCAAGAGCAAACCCAAGCGCAGGAAACCCCGTATCAAACGGCCCACGTACCTCCAGCAGCAGCAGCAGCAGCAGCAGCAGCAGCAGCAGCAATGCAGCAGCAGCAGACGACAACCGGGAAAAACCCAACTGTCTGACTGGAACTGCAACTTTGAGCTGCTGCCGGGGGGAGCCGGGGAGCCAGATCCACCTCCAAAACCGAGATGCTGTTAGAAGGACAACTTGTGTCGAGCAGCAACATTTGGAGGCAAATTTACGCAAAGTCTAACGAACTGTTGAGGCAGACGTCTGACTGCCTGCCGGACGTGAACCTACTGCGAACCCCTGGTGTCTTCTTGGATGCTGAAAACAGTTTTTGTGCCTCTCGTCTGTTCAAGGCTGTCCGTGGGTGTTTGTGTGTGTGTGTGTTTGTGGACTGATGAACAGTATTAGACAGTGTTACACACATGATGTAAAACACACCTGGCCCTAAAAGATGCCTGTTTGAGACAGACATGTTGTCTACATTTCCCTCTCTCTTCTTCGACCAAACTGTTTCTTTATGGATGAAATGTGTCTGACTTTTATATTTATTGAATTTGTTCGTACCCTCACACACACACACACACACACACGCACACACACAGAAACATAATGCATACTGTATGCACTTTAAGAATAGAGCTGTTGGCATACACACGGACAGATACACACACAGACATTTCCAACTTGAGGACCATGGAATGATCAAGTCTTCTCCTGCCCATGTCTGTTTAGAATCACTCTCTTTTCATTGTTTTTATATTTTCTATAATGAACTCTGGCCAGGCATTCTGTTGATATCCTCCTTCACCATGATTGACAGACTTTTTTCGAATATATCTCATCAATTAAAAAGCATAATCAAAATGATCTGCTTGGTTATTGTTGTTTATGTGTTTGTGTGTTGTTTTCTGGAGTTGCTTTCTAATTGAAGAGACGCAAGACGTGGTATTGTTACTTTTCTGGCTCCATCTGTCTGTTAAAGTGATGATGGTTGTCTGTTACGTAAGTGTTCCCTATGGCTTCACTCCGACATGACAGGACCATTACAAGATGGGTAAAAATTTGGCAGTTAGTCCTTGAGAGCTCCATAGCACTGGCATGGTCAGAGAGGGTCGGAGAGGGTGTGGGGTGGAATCTGATTGGCCAACCCCAAGTGCCACCCCATTATCCCCAGCTCTTCCACTCTGCAATAGAGTGAAGATACTGCTATCATATGAAACTAGAAGACTTAACACATCCATTGGTACCAACCCTGCCATGCTAGCATGTCAGGAAGAGGGCTAAGTAATGCTCCAAAGTTAGGCTAAATTTAAACAGGGTTTTTAAAAATTAAAGAAAAAATGAATTGTCCTGGAAAATGTTGTGTTGTCCTGTAAGATTATTTCAACATTCTCCTATTTTCCTTTAGCTGAGAATAAGATAGTAAAGACTTAAGCTGCAGTAGGTAACTTTTCTGAAAAATTTTTTTTTTCATATTTGCTGAAACTACCTGACAGAAGAACCTGAGACAGATAATGTGTGAAACAATGAGGTTTCCCCTGGCTCCTCCTCGTGCTCCTAATGGCATTTGAGAAAGATGATCCCAGGTTGCTAAATACAGGCGCTTTGGAATGAGACTTAATCAACTTTCTTCAAGTCCCCAAACGAAGAGTAGTCTCATTCGAGACTCAACAGTCATCTATCTGTCTTGACTCTGATTGACAAATGTGACAAAAAGTAATGTTTATAAAAGTTACCTATAGAGTCAGTGCAGTTAATCCTATATTTGTCAGTAGGCAAAATTGTAGGCTACTATTCAGTTATTGGTGTTCAGGCAGGAACTGTTAATACAATTCATAAGAAAAAAGGGATTCAGGTTATAAATTAATAATAATGATACATTTTAGTTACATAGCTCTTGCCAAACATTGACAGAAAACTATAAAAAATAAAAATATAGCTCAATATTAAAACAGCATTAAAATAAGGAGGAAATGACAGTAAGAGAGGATAGTAGTAAAAGTAGTGTTATAAAACATACTGAAATGTTTCGATAATTACAGCAGGATGGATGGCAGTGCAAGTATTTTTAAATCAGACTTCCACTGAGAGGAACACATTACTGTTTAGCGTGGCCCCTGTCTATCACACCAGCTAAATCATCACTGAAAATGTCATGGAAATGGTGAGTAGAAAGGAGTGGGAACCCTGATTTAACCTTCTACTGCTGCAGCCTTTGTGTTACTGTGACTTGTGCCATGTTGGAAGCGATAAGTCAATGTTACTGGGTCGGTCAGTAAGGGACTTGGTGGTTCCATGACCTGTTTGAGTTCAATCTTTCTTTCTGTTTTTTTTTGAGTACTCCACCCTCTAATGGCTGGTGTTTGTATTTTTCCTTTTTGTGCTGGCAAAATGTGATCATTGGAGCAGAATCATCTGGAAACAGGATTTTTTGTTTTGAGGGCACTTTGTCTTTTCTTTATTCAACAGTGGACAGGAGAGAGGTGGCAGGACACAAAGGAAGAGCTTTCAGGAAGAGCTTGTAGTACACATGTAGTAGAATAAGACAAAGTTATTTACACAGTTATAACTGGAAATAATTGGGGATTTCTTAGTATTGTGCTTCCATCTTTATTATCATCACTGCACTGTTGGCATCACAGAGATGTGAATAAACCTGCAAAACGTTTGGCTTCAGTCACCACAAGCACTTTAGAATAAAAGGCTGGACAGTTAAGAAGTGGAGCTTAAACTTGTGTCATGAGCTAATTCCTTTTTATTCTTACTGAAGAGCATTTGATCCATTTCCTTTGCAGACATTAGAGAAGGAATAATGGCATTTGTTTCTGTGGAGTAATTCCATCTCACTCGTGGTTTTCGTATTGGTTATGGGCTGAATTCAGTGATGCAGGTTGATTTCATCAGAGGTGATGTGCGTCGGTGTGCTCGGGGGTCTGAGCTTTGGCTCCTTATCCGAGCCTAATAGGCCAGATCAGCCTGTGAATCTGTCACCCGTCCTCTTGGATGACGGCCCCGCTGGAGAACTAATCTCCCTTGGAACCTTGGGAAACTGGGAAATGACCCCGGAGCCAGCTAGCTGTGCTAACAAGATTTGGGAAAGCTGGTGGTGAGTGGAGGTCACATGCCCTCTTTCCCTCCATGGTTCCCAGATGCCAGGACTTCCTGTCGGGCCAATCAGGTCGCCTTCTCACATCCTGGACAGGCAGTTGAAAGAGACACCGTGGCGGCTCTGGGCTCAAATCTAAACCCCCACCCCCCCACCCGCCCCCCTCAGATTCATCAATTCTTCCCAGATCATATGTCCTACCAGGCTGTACCTCTCCCCATCCACCTACTGCATTAACGTCTGTGTGAGCATGAAAAGGCTGGCTAACATCAACACTCCTGCTTCCCCTCCTTCTCACTCCTTTCATCAGTCCTCCATATCTCCCATGTGCCCCCTCATAGCCAAGACTTAAACATTTCAGCCAGCGACAAACTTTTTCAAAAGGGAGCCGTGACTCGAGTTCACATGACTGAGACTTCAGACTTGACAAAATCAAAAAAGACTCGACGCATGACTCGTGACTTCACTTGGACTTTAGCCTTTTAGCTTGGAATGACTTGATATTCTGCCCAATCCCAAAGATTAAAAATTATGATATAACAAAAGTGCACAGCGAATCAACTGACATCATAGAAAGCAGCCAATGACGTATGAGCAGGAAAACCAGTACAGACCAGCATAGAGTCTGGAAAACATGCATATGACAGATAATTGTTCTTGTTTGTATCATATGAATACATTTCATTTAGCTATGAGTGCCATTAAGTGTATTTGAAACCAGTAAATGCAAACTAACAAGACAAACAAATGCCAGCAGCTCTGTGAGGCTCACAGTCGCGCTTTGAGCTAAATGCTAATGTCAGCATGCTAACATGCTCACAATGACAATGTTAACATGCTGATGTTAGCATTAGCACTAAACACAAAGTACAACTGAGGCTGATGGGAATTGCATCAGGTTTGCACATATTTGGTCATAAACCAAAATATTGCACAGATTTAAACTTTGACCTGATGATGACACCAGATGAAAAGTCAGGGGATCAAACGCAAAACAGAACATCTGTAGAAAATTTCACAGCATTCCATCCAGTGGTTTTTGAGATAGACTGAGTCTGGACTGAAGTGGTGGACCAACAACACCCAACCCTGCAGCCATTCTTGTGGCTACTTAAAAAACGTTAATTATTCTGTAGATTTAATAGACAAACTATTACTAACACAAAGACTTAGACTTCACTACTTGGCACCTGTGACCATAGACTGTGACTGAATATAGACGTAGTCTCTGTGACGTCACCCATAGGTTTCTGAAGAACCGTTGTGAAGCTCAGGGTGGTCGGCTCTGGCCGTGGCCATCTTGGCAGTCCTGTCAAAGTCGTTCACTTTAAGCCTGAATATAATTTAAATGGTTTAATTATATGAAAATGAACCCCCCGTACAGTTGACATGTATGAGAAATTTAGTTATAGAGACCAAAACAGCCTTTGTACAAGGCTGTAAACATGTTTATTTCTGCTGTAAAGCATTTTAATATGGGGCCTTATGGAGATTGACTCACTGCTAGAGACAGCCTCTAGTGGCCATTAGAGGAACTGCAGTTTTGGGCACCTCAGTGTTGGTTTCATTTGTTTGCTACAGAATTTGCTGCTTGCTTAAGACTTGCAAAAGGTCTTTTTTATCCACTGACATCTTAAGGCAGACCTGCAACACTACGCAAGGAGAGCACCCTCATTGACACTGCTCTTACTCATTATCTCAATGCTCATGTTTGAGTTTGTGGCTCACTCATATTCAAATAGAGTTGTGGGATTCATTTTCCTTACTGTTCCTTTAAATTGTGAACAGAAAGGTTATGCATGCAAATCAGCATATTTCTTCCCAATTCAGTCCATGCTCTTCCTTTCCTTCAGAAAGCTGGCCTCAGCCTACGGGGCACAATCTGTTACCCTACGACTGTACTGCAGGAAATTGATTTGTGTCGCTTTTTCATTTTCATCCATGAAATTAAAAGTCAGGAACTCAATTTCACGAGTGAAATAAAGTGACGTTGCTGTTTTTCTTTGGGTGAACTCAAACAAAAAGTGTTTAGGGCTTTTGCACCACAACAGCAATCCTGTGCGTGAAATTTACAAGTTGTCGTGCCCGTGTTACCACTGCTGGACGCTCCTCGGCTATTCAGAATTGTCCTCTCAGTTGAGTAATTCTGACTGCTTCCTGCTTACTTCTCCTTCCGGGCCAGAAGAGCTGCATAACGATGAGTCATTCTTTGTGTTGACGTCAACAGAAAGAGATGATGAAAGCTTTTAAAGTCGAGGGAAGACAGTGTGTAAAAGAAAAAAGTGTATAAAAACAACCATCTTCAATTAATCCTGCTGCAACTTTCTCTGACGGTGAGTAACAGACCAATGGAAAGGCCGTTCTGCTTGACAGACGGCCATTCATTGACCCTTCTCATAACACCTAAAGGCGAAATCTTGTTAGAAACGAGCAATGCACTGTAAATAATTTTGAGTTAATTCTGGTTCAACTTAAATGTAAGTTTATTTGCTGCCGTATAAATGTGAGTTAACTGAACTTAGGTTGAACATTTAGTTCTTATTGAGTTTTCTTAAAACTATATAAAAATGAAGGAGAGGAGTAAATCAGGAGAGTTTTAATTTTCAAACCATGTATGCTGGGAAGTCTGCTAATATGCTGATCATGTTTCTTTAGAAACTTAACTTAATAAGTTGATTGAACTCATTAATACATTCATTCAGTTCATCATTTCAAGTCAAAACACTTGAGATATCAAAAGAGAAGTTAGAGGAACTCATGTTTGTAAGTTCTGAAGTGGTGTTTAAGTTTAATTAACTTGAAATAAATTATACTTGTATATTTACATTAAGTTAGTTGAGTCCACTAAATTCCTGTATTCATTTTCAAAGTGGCCCAGCACGACCTGCCGGGTTCGGGGTTGGGCGCAGACAGAATTAATTTTAAAAAAAATATATTATAATATTTTATTAATAATGCATGCACCTCTAATTAATGACTGAATTTGTTATTTATGAATTTTGATAATAATTTACACTATATTATATGTACACGGTAGTTTACTTGAGCTTATATATAGTATATATATAAACTATTAAAATGTTTTATTTATTTGTTTATTTTTTCTTCCCAGCCTGCAGTGGAATCAGACTGCTTTCAGACACATAAAAAGGCATCAGCGATTGATCTGATCTTTTGCGCTTGTGTGAAAAGAACCATGTCCACGTGGGACTCCCTAATTCCTCGTATGTCAGACTCTCACTGGCTCTGCTGCATGTGATAGCCTGGCCAGCCGGGACGCAAGACTTTCTGGACCCACACAGACGACCCTGTGTGTGTGTCCCCACCCCACCCCTCCAACACCCTTCTCATACCTTCTTAACTCCTCCACATCCTCCTCCAGTTTTTCTCTTTCGTCTCAGATCTGTCCAATCACTCTCTTTATGTACCTTACATCCTCATCTTAGCTGTTCTCTGCTGTTTTATCCACGCTGCTCCCTCGGTTCCTGTAGCTTTCCCATTCCTGTTCCCCACATTTTCTTCCCCCTCACTTATTGACATCACCAGATTTGACAGTGAGCCGCAGGCAGCCAAACACACACCCACACACTCTGTGTCTTTGTTATATTTAAATATCTTGAGAATTTTGACAAACTACACAGCCAAAAACTATTTTAACCATTTTTAGGAGCCAATGCTGGAAGATGAGGAGAAAAGTATTTAGCAAAACCAGGCTGGCTGCAGCTATTTAACTCTTGTTTCAATAGAACATGTTATCAAGTGACTTCATGTATAATGGTCACAATTTTGTTGTTTTTTGTGGTTTGGTATCCAGGGGTTGTGAGGCTTTCTGGGTTTTAAGGGGTGTAAGAAAAAATATTTATACAGTAGGCCTATATCTAAGCATATCATTCAACTCTGTGAAGAAAAATATTATTTTAAAATGATTATAGATTATAGAATAGATTAGATATTCTTATTTCAGATATAAATAAACTTAATTTCACAGGATAAGGGCATAGTGAAGACCTGAACATAAGTTATATCTACAAAGCCTTCACTCTTGTTAAACAGCCTCGTCCTGCAAAGAAACCAGGGGCGGATCTAGAGAAATATTCATGGGGTGGCCATGGAGACTTGAATATAAATATTTGCTTGGAAAAGCTCCCAAATGAAGATACTTGCAGTCAAAAACATGATTGTGGTACATTAGTAAAGCGGTGAATAGAAATATCTGAAGGTGGCATTAGAAATCCATAAGTTGTTTTATTTCCCCAAATTTGTCCAAAAACATTTTCCAATGAACTTAAGCCTTTCACTTTTTAAATCCACCCCTGCAAAGAGCTAATAGAACAATGAGTAGGAAACACTGCATTTATCAAAAAAGAATCCTATTAAGTATATATGACTGAATAAAATAAATAAATAAACAGCTAATACAGACACAGAAGAGACAGAGAAAAGAAATCAGAAAAGATCTGCTCAGAATTCCTCCAAATTGTTTGTTTAAACAGACTTCATGCAGTTATTTGTTCTGTATTGAATATTATATGAAATATGTCACTCAGTGATACAGGGGTTCCATAAGGAGGAAGGTTGGTAACCACCGCTTTATGTGTCAGTCTTACCTGCCAAGGGATAATTAGCTTAATGCTTCTGTGCTCAAATACATAAAATAATACCATTTATGTCTGCTATTGTACAAACATAAATAACTGAGTGGGGTGAGTCCACCCATGCTGCGTTTTACTGCCATTGTTGACACATCGAGTTACTTTTAAGTTGAAACATTTTAATTCATAGAAGCTTTTATTCGTGATGGTGCACCCTGTATCTCACTGTGACACTTTCATCTTATTCGCATCAGATTTGCATTAAAAACGCAGCACAGGAGGCCCCCTGTGGTTCTCTCTGAAGAGTTTAGTTCAGTTTCCGAGCAGCACCTGAAGGCACCAACAGCCCTCAATCAACCCCCCCACCCTCCTCCTCCTCCTCCTCCTCCTCCCTCCGCCCGGCTCACCTTGCTCGGTGAGCGGCCCGTCCCCCAGAGCGCAGCACCGTTCCCGGGGAGTGGCTGGGAGCCGACGGGCAGCTCGCGTGCGTCTATGTAGGTAGCCCGTGAGCGCGTGTGCGTGCGTCAGTGTGTCCCAGCGTGAGTTTCCCGCCGGTTGAAACATGGAGGAGTTAGCCAGAGAGAGCATCAGCCTGCTGGCTTCAGCCTCTTCCAAGCCCCCGCTGGACGTTGCCGCCGGGCCTCGGCTCGGCTCCATGGGGGCCATTTTCATCATGCTGAAATCCGCCCTGGGCGCCGGGCTCCTCAACTTCCCGTGGGCCTTCGAGAGGGCCGGGGGCATCCGCAGCGCCGTTACCGTGGAGCTGGTAGGCATTTATTGTTATATTAATATATAAGATGATAGGAAGATATTTGTACTCCTAGATAGGCTCAGATAGAGTTTTCTGCATTGCTGGGCTCTGGCAGAGATCTTAAAAGTTGATGCAGCCAAAACTTTCTTTTTAAAGTAACTTTTTATGTTTATTTTCATTGGAAGTTTGTTGCAGGGGAGATGCATCTTATCTTGTGAGGGCTGAGGTCCACTGAGATCAATTAAGGAGATTGTGATCTGTTCCAGCTGACAGGAGAGACCCTGTTAGACCTGACCTCAGACCCTCTTCAGAGTCACTTCATTCTTATCAGTGTGACTTTTCTTCTGTTGCTCGCCTCCTTTCTCCAGCCTGTCACTCACTCCACTGCAATATTCAAATAATTTGGGGGATTATGATTTATTATTTAGCACTTAACCTGTATTTTCTCTTGTGCTGAAACCAGAAGTTATAGTGCGTAACCTTTTCACCACACTTGGTCGTCGCTTTGACCCTGAGAATGACTGGAGTCTCTGTTTGTGTGGAAAGTTCCCAGACTCCCCACAAATCCCAGCAGCAGTTTTTTGCTGCTGCACTGGGGGAATGGGGAAAACTCAACCAGACAATCAAATGCATGCATTGTTGTTTTCAGTTCTTTTTGTATAACTCTACAGATGAAACCACTGTGCAAGAGTGCAGTAAAAAAAATCTATAAATCATTTCTCCTGGTGTCATTGCCTGCTCTAGTTTAAAAGTGTTAAATTGATCGGCTTCTATACTGCTCCTGCCTCATCTTTGTCTCCCTGCAGACGTTGGACAATAAGGCTTGAATGTCTTTTAATGTGAATTGTCCTCTGATGTGTGATTTTTCTCTGCTTGTCGGCTGTTTAAAAAAAAAAAAAAAAAAGTGAATTATCTCTTTTACTACCAAAACTTTTAAGACAACTCTATCACAATTTAAATGTTTTTTAGTAGTTGAAGCTGCATAGAATGGTTTCTTGGCCACAAGCTGGCAGATGCACAGTATCGTGAGCTCGAACATTTGCCTAATTACATGTAGCCACTGTAGCATTTGTGTAATGTCCAATGCTCAATCAACTTTTAGCTCTTTTATGTCTTTGTAGGTAAATGTTTGGCGGGCTTGTGGCTAGCTTTGTCTGTCTACTGTTTGGTTCTGGACCAGGTTGTGTACAGTAGACTTACAGTTGTCTTTGGGTAGTTTAATGAGAGTGCTGAGACTGAACCATATAATGAAAATGTTGTAAAACCAAAACAGTTAGTGGAATGTTTTTTTTTTTTTTTGGATCAAATTTGATATAATAAATATTATGGTTAATTGACCTATATAACCTTAGCTTTTAGCTTGTGCAGATTTTAGGTATGTGAATGATTTCAAGTTATTCCAAGAAATGACAAAACAATAAACAAAAATACAGATCCACTGGCGGACCATTTCTATTGCAGAGTTCAGAGGGTTAAGAGCTTCAGAGTTGCCATACTGCCCCTTAGTTTTACACACCATGTCCTTGAGCAACCTCCTCCACACTACAGTCTTAACTCCCTGTTATCACACATTTTAGTGCTGGATTAAGTATTTTAAAATGATTTACTCAATGAGATTCCAAACAATTTGCTGATTAGCTTTATTTTGTATCCTATTAAACTGAATGTTATTATGCTATTGTAGCTCAGAAAAAATAAGCAATTTAATCCTTCACTTGGACTTTGCATTGTATTGTATTTGCATTGAAATTGCATTGTACTCTGTATATATTAAATGATTCATTAAAAAAATACAAAATGATCCAGATTAACTGATAATTAAAACACTAAATAAATGAGAAAACAGGATTAAGACACACACTCTTCTGAAATTAATCTTCTACATCTTGCTCTGCCCCGCACTGCTCAGTATCTAAAGATTAGTACTCTTTATTTATATATTTAATCAATATCAGCCCCGGCTGCCCCTTGGGCACTGTTAAAGCTCTGACATAATTTTCCTTCTATAATCTTCAAAAATGTGCCTGGCAGTGTAATTGGTGTTAAATGCTAAATGACTGATTCTAAAGTTTTGTCTTTGCTATCCAATTAGGCCACGGCTCCTCATTACACTGCAATGATTCTAAATACCTGACTGGGCACTTGACAGTAGCTTTAGAGCTTAATTGGGTCGTGGACTTTTGTAGTTTGTGTCCAATCTTTTACTCTCCCAGGTGTTTTCCCCTCAGATCTTCCAGAGACCATATTTGCATAATTGCTGTCATTAGAATGTCCATGTTATAACTCCAGACTTATAGCTGTTCACCAGCGGTCTATAGTCTCCTCCTCTCTCCAGGTTGTGTAGCTGGTTCTTGTTGTTATTGAGGAAACACTTTATCTTCCACTCCTCTCATTAGAGTTCAGTAACCCACTCCTCATTAGAGTTCAGTAACCCACTCCTCATTAGAGTTCAGTAACCCACTCCTCATTAGAGTTCAGTAACTCACTGTTTCTGTCAGCACATTAACCCACTGAAGACACTGACAGGGTTCCCACTGCGTCCTAGTTTTCCAGTCATGGAAACACCTGATTAAAATGACCAAATATCCTGGGAATTATCTATGTTGTCCTGGAAAATTAGTTTGAGCAAGTGCTGTCTGAACCCTGACTGTCATTAACCCTGATACATAGCGAGGATGGAGGGGTACCCTATCCGGGCTGTGAAGGCGAGTGCTTGGCCTATCTCTAAGGCGTTCAAACATTTTAACTGGAAAGTTTAGGACGCTCACAAATGACCTCCTCTTCCCTTTGATGTTATGTCATAGCAGCTGTAGAAAATACAGGCCAGAATGGGATAATATGGTGAAGTTAGCCTTGTCAGTTCTGTCCCAGGCCTCCAGCATACAGAGCAAGCATATGTGAGGAGGACACATGGCTACATAAAGGAGGTAAACTGTATATTCATTGTTTGATTTTATATCCCCAAAGGGAGGCCTTTCAATAGTTCCTCTCCTTATTAGTATTAGTTTTCCTTTTTCACATCATCTTTTCATTAAATAGGCTTGTTCTATGGCTTTACAGACTCAAAATGACACACAACCATCCAGGTATTCAGTAGTATTTGTGTCGTTTGTGTTGTTAAAGCTGCCGTAGGTAACTTTTATAAAATTAACCTTTTCTCATATTTTCAGAAGTTTTCACTACATCCTGACAGTAGAACATGAGACAGATAATCTGTGAAAAAATCAGGTTCCTGAAATAATCTGGCTCCTCCTAGTGCCTCCTAATGATATTTAGAAGAATCCACTGGGCCCGAATGAAAACAACCAATCACAGATGAGAAAAATAGTCGATTGTTGAGTCTTATTCCCAGGGACCCAAAGCATCAGTATTTTTGGCGCCCTGGAACTGAGACTTAAACAATCGACTATTTTTCTCATATCTTCAGGCCTCCAACCCAAAGCAACTTAATATCTTTCTCGGCTCTGATTGTTTTCATTTAGCCCCGGTAGATTCTTTCAAATCCCATTAGTAGCACCAGGAGGAGCCAGATTATTTCAGGAACCTGATTTTTTTTTTTCACATATTATCTGTCTCATGTACTACTGTCAGGATTTAGTGAAAGTTTCTACTGCAGCTTTAATCAGAAATGGATACCTTACATTTAAATAAGCAATAACAAAAATATGTGTAGACCAGACCAGGCTGCTGAAAATGTACAAAATGAATGTGAAAACATTACAGGCACACAAATAATTACTATTATTGAGGGCAGTGATTCTCAACATAGGGGTCAGGACCTGCAACAGGGTCACAAGATAATTTCTGGAGGTCGCCAAATGGTTGCAGAAAATAAAATAACATATTGTGGCAAGCAGCACGGAATGACAGACAGGAGCAGCTCTCACCCCCTTTAATGACATTCAACACAGGGGACAAGAACCCTATGTACTGCATACTCTTTTGTTAACAGGCTCAGTTATTATTGTGCTTTTAGGCCCAAAGCAGACATAATGACTCTGAAGGTGTCATTATTTCAATAAATCAGAAAGCATGAATTAGTTGTTCTGTCTGTGGGCAAAGCAATGGTCTTCCTGTTTCATATTGCACATGGTTGTCTCTATATGACCTGAATAAATAAACAAGACCATCAGCAAGAACACTGGCCTTTTCTTTATAGTTATTCTTAATGCCTGCCACTGGGTCGGATTCCCCTTAAAATCAATGAAACAAGGTAGCAGAAGCACTACTGCTTTTGTCCACAGGGGCCGCCAGAATCAACACAAAAAGCAAGTTCCTTGTGAGCTTAGTGTGTTTATATATCGGTATCTCTGTATGTATATGCTGATAAGTGACAAGAAATGCCAAAGCAGAGGTAATGTAGGAAATCGTGTCATATAAAGATATGATGTCCTGCCTGAAAATGTTTCATCTGTACCTCCTGAGTTCCATTATTCGGCTTCCCTTTATCCACCCAGGTCTCCCTCGTGTTCCTGGTCAGTGGTCTGGTCATCCTGGGCTACTCTTCGTCCATCAGTGGCCAGTGCACTTACCAGGCGGTGGTGAAGGAGGTGTGCGGGCCGGCCATCGGTCAGCTGTGTGAGATCTGCTTTGTCTTCAACCTCTTCATGATCTCTGTGGCCTTCCTGGTTATAGTGGATGACCAGCTGGAGAAGTGTGAGTCGGCCTTGACACAAAGTACTGATTTGTATTTTTTTATTTATTTAAAAAAAAAAAAACCTTTTTTATCATTATTATTTTTTTGTAAATAAGCTGTTTGGATTTGAACAGACCTGCTTTGCAAAATGACCTGTTGTGGAATCCATTAACTGTTGATGCCAGATCACAGCCCAGGTCGTTGGGGGGGGCAACATAATGTGGCTATGACCACCAATGCTCTGTCTCCTCTCAGTTAAAGGGCAGATTAATGATAGTTCACACTCATTAAACAACCACTAATTTGTTGTCCAATATTCCCATTGCCCTAAGCCCCGCCCCTGTTTGCTCTGTGCTCAATAACAAGCTATCTTGTTAGCTGGCTAGTTATTTGCTAGCTCACGACTGATGTGTGTTAGGTTGCTGGGTAGCTAATGTTTTGCTAACATTGCTAATTCTGTGTCTTAATTTAAATACTTCCATACTTACACTAACTTTTATGTACATAAGTGTGTTCACACTGTCAAGTGTGGCAAAATGCAGTGCCAGTGCAAGTGTGGAACGCTGGACATTTCTCATAGTCAGTGGTCACCAGCGGATGGACCACCTGAACATACTAGTACAGGAGGAGTACACAACGTTTAGACAGTGTAACTTCCCCTCACATGAAACAGAGGGGACACACGGGTGATAAAAAGTGGAAGCAGGTACATTTTTTTTAATGAATGAAGAACTCCAGTGAAAAATAAGCTAATATTGATGCTAATGCTCTGTCCAGTTGTAAATCGCTGTAGAAGAAGAAGGTGATGCGGTAAAATGTCATTTCCGGTAAGTGCGCAATGGCCGTGCTCAATTTGGGACATCACTATCCTGCTGAAATTGCTGCGTAGTGTGCAAATTGTACTAAAAAAAAAGTACAGTAATGGAAGAATAAAATTTGAGACACTGCATTAGTTCAGATGTTCGCTTTGTATGCTTTTATTTTTTTTAACCATCTTCAAAATGTGGTTGTCTTGACACGGAGAGCCTCGCACACAGCATATCTGAGTACAGGACGGGAAAAGGTTGGCCGAGGCTTCCTCAACTGTTATCGGAGTAACTGATGGAGGGCCTTTTTTTCATCATCGGGAAGTTAGCATTCTCATGGTCCTTATCTTTAGGACAGATAGGCCTACAGCTTGCATTCAGACTCATTTTCTGTGCTTCCTCATGTCTGTGTGTTCTTGTTTGTTGAAAGTGTGTGGCTCCCTGTATGAGGTGGTGACCGGTTTGCCGGAGTCAGAGATGCCGTACCACTTCTACACAGACCAGCGCTTCGCCCTGGTGCTGCTCTGCGTTCTCCTCATCCTGCCGATGTCCATCCCAAAAGAGATCAGCATTCAGAAATACATCAGGTCAGGTGTCACATATGGGAGTGCATGCGTGCACATGCAGTTATTTGTCCAAACATGTATAAGACAAATATACAAATCTGCTTGGAACAATAACCAGTCTGTTTTTTCCACATGAAATTAAATTTTCTGCATTAAAACCTTTTTATATATGCATCTACTCCTTCTACATGATCAAATATTTAGGGCACTGATTGGGAAATTTTGGGTCGATACTGATGTTTAAAATAGCAATTTGTCCAATAGCTCATGTTTTTTTTTGTCATTTATTCACTTTTGTGGTACAAAGATAGGCCTCTCTGCCTTGTTGCAGCTCAGTCTATGACTATTCTCATCCAAGATGTGAGACACAGACATTCACTGTCCATGCTCGTGAAAAGAGCACATCAGTATTTGTGTGCAATTCTTCACAGTGCTGGAAAACTGAGGTGATTTTATTTTATTTTTTTCCCCTCCAATATTCAGGTTGGAAACCAAGAGAAATGCATTTTTGAGTGGACAACTACCGGCCAGATTTACCATAAAATGCAGTGTTCATGGCTGATTCCTAATCATTTTTAGCTTTTTATGTAGCTTCACCATCAGCTCTAAAGCTTTTCTTTACCAACAAGGTAACTCATTAACTAATGGGCAGATTTCAACAAAATGTAAATAAAAAGTGTATGTATATTCATGGAAATGCATATACATGAAACACATGCACATTTATGCTCCCTTAGGGTGAACCCTATTCAATCTGGATGCTCCATTAAGTTAACTCTTGTACCACCTACATGCCAGAATGAACAAGATACTGTATATCAGACAGATTAGCATTAAAGAGCAGCTCTACACAAGCTGAAAACTTTTTAAAAGGTTTTTGCTAAGCTTCAGTGGTTAAACGTCTCATGCAGAAGTGTACTCTAGGGCAGTGGTTCCCAGACTTTTCCTTAAGGTACCCCTTTCTATTATTGAGTAAACTGACTAAGTGGCATATTTTCAGTTCTTTGCCGTGCCCCTATTCTGTCAGATTCTTCATAAGTTTATATCTTAAATAATAATCTAGACTTAACAAACCTAACATATAGGACTACTGTATAATGTTTTCATAGTCTTTAGTCCTTAAAATGAAGAAGGCCTTGCGACTCTGTGTGAAACTCTGGCGACCTCTAGTGGGTGTTGGGACCCACACGTTGGGAGCCACTGCTCTAGGGTGTGTCGGTGCTCCATGATGGCGCTGTTAGGTGTGTAGAGATGCAACAAAGGTCATTTCTGACTTTTCCCCTCAGTACTTTTAAGGCTCTACATGAAATAAAATATCTTGCCCTATGTTGTTTCCTCTTTGGATGTTCATTACAGCGTACAGTCACTTATTTCTTATATTTTGTATGCAACCTGGTTTTAGGTTTTCTCTAGTGCTGTCAAACGATTAAAATATTTAACCGCATTAATGTCATGGTTAACTCGCAATTAATCACACATTTTTATCTATTCTAAATGTCCCTTGATTTCTTTTTGTCCCATTATTTTTTCTCATTGTAATACTCATATAAAAGTGGATCGGCTTGCTTTGTGCAAATGTTGTTTTTATTGAATAATCATCCATTGTCGCCTGGCTTTGACGAGGGGGCAGATAATTTGCATCAGCTGTGTGTTTGGCCATCAAGTGGTATTTCAGACTGGACGTGCTGCGATGATAGCTCATTTCACAACAACAAAACACACAGATCACTTTGGTCTTGTCAATGGAACCATTTGGCAACTTTTTAAAAGTAAACTTTCCATTCAGAATATTACTGGCATCCATTTCGGCGTCTCGCGCTCGCCATTCACTCAAAACATAACGTCTACTGCTCTTAAACAAGTGTGTGTGGCGTGCCTGTTGTTTTGTTTCCGGTCTAGCTAGATCCGGTGTGGTGTTGTAGTTTTTCTAACATTACTAGTTGTTGCAACAGCATGTGAAAAAAACTACAAAGTGTGCTAGGCCAAAAAGAACGTTAATCTCATGATAAAAAAATTGACGCCGTTAAAATGGGTTTGCGTTAACACCGTTAATAATGCGTTTAACTGACAGCACTAGTTTTCTCACAATGTCTTTGTTCTTTTTAACACAGATTTGACCTCCTTTGTACACACACACACACACACACACACACACACACACACACACACACACACACACACACACACACACACACACACACACACACACACAAAATAAATGACCCTTGTGGTCAGTCTCCAGTTATCCACTCATCCACTGCACTTTTCAGCGATTGTCTGATTTCTGTCTGAACCAGGTGTTTTGTCTCCGTCCTCTCAGTGTTCTGGGCACTCTGGCTGCGACCTACCTGACCATTGCCATCATCATCAAATACCACAGCACGTCGACTGTTATGGTTCACATCACCCCTCTGTACAGCAGTGGGTACGTATATATGTGTGTGTGTGTGTGTGTGTGTGGGAGGGGACAAATGATGGGATCCAGGGCTCCAAACAATCTATTTGCTCCACTGGTCACAATAAACTCAAGTGTTGGGAGTAGATGTGTCAAGTTGCAGACAAAGTAGAGTGCAATGTTGTAAAATGGGCCCTAAAATATGTAAAAGTAGATGAAGGCTGATTGCGAAACATTAATACAAAAAAGGGACTATATATATTTTTATTGCTTTTATTGCTCCGTTTTCATAAAAGCAGGTGAGCCTCGTGTGGAGGAGGCTTGTTGTTAGTGAGGCTGTGGAAACGATCGGAACTGGTACACAATGCTTTATTGCTCTGTGTTTGTAAAATATCCGGGTGACTCTTCTCTCTTTCTTTCTCTGTGTCTAAATGGGTCGCTGGACATTAATATGGGTGACCCGCCAAAGTAAAGTTTTATGTGGCAGACACTGCATTGTTAATATTTTAGCACAAAGGTTCTAAATAAACGGAGATATATGAGTAAGTGAGTTTTTATTCATTTATTTTTTTTATTTGTTGAGTATATATTTCAAAATGTCATATGAAATGGGCCTTTCCATGTGTTAATTTTATATAAACAATTTATTCATTGAATTTACAGAATGTGCTGTATCATATCATATCATTATGAACATATTGCACAGCCCTAGCTCAACATTTTGCACAGGAAACTACATTTAATTTTTCTTATAGTTTTATCAAAGTTATTGCTATTGCCTTTATATTGACTTTATTTATGAAAATGTAAAAGTTGGTGGGTGTGGAAAAAAAATTGTAAATACTTTTGTGCTCCCCTCACATGGGAGAAAAAAAATACATGGGTTCCACTGAGAAACTTTTGCATAGGGGAGAAATGATCCCTGTCTCTTATGGGGCTCTGTACTTATGTTATAGTAAGTTCTTCATTTTGTTTTAATTATATTGTATAATTGTACAAAAGTAGTTTGTACCATGGAGGGACAAAGTGTGCATGGATTAAATGAAATGAAAAGTTTTGAAAGAGGAGTGCAGTGTAGTTAGTGCTACGTAGTCCTCCTGTTTGCAGCGTTTATTTGAGGACATTTTGGGAGCTCCACGCATTTCCTTTCTTGCAGAGAGTTAGATGACAATCCACTCTTGATGCAAAGCTAAGCTAACCGTCTGCTGGCTGTAGCTCCATATTTAATAAACAGATATGAGAGGGGTATTGATCTTCTCATTTAATTCTCAGCAAGAAAGCAAACTGCATTTCCCCAAATGTCGAAGTATTTGTTTTGGTTGCTTGTGATGACAGCAGAGCCTGCAGCTGTCAAAATTCTATTTCAAAATAATTGTCTGAATATATGCTCTGCAGTCTGTATTTACTGTTGTCTGCATGACTGAAGTGAGGTGTATAATCTGCCTTCAAACTTTGGAAATGAGGAAAAACAGAAAATAATTTTAACAAATTGCTAAATAGTAGTTTTAGTTTTTTTTTTTTTTTTTTTTTTTAAAGTAAAGTTTGGTCTTTGAGGCTGTCTTACTATGTTATAAATAAACTTACTGTCCGGAGCAAGTTCATGTAATGAGGTTGTTTCCAGGAAATATGACATGTCATGAGTCTTATCCATAAATCTGCGTTGAATCCGGGCCACCAGGACAGACAAAGTGGATCAAACTGCTCTGCTCGCACCTCTCCTTGAACCCCTCTGTCACTGTTCGACACTCTGTCTGGCTCGCTGACTTACCCCGGCTGCTCCTGTCAGCTGTGTGCCTGTGATTGACAGATGAACTCCATGGCGAAGTGTATCTAAATGCCACGGCATTATGAACGGTGCCCCAATAATAGCTGATTTCTTCTTCATCTTCTTGTGGCATTTGTGAACCCCAGAAAATGACTCTTGTGTCTCCTCCTGTCTGTGTGCAGGATCAGCTCCTGGGCCTCCATGTTCAGCGTCATCCCAACCATCTGCTTCGGTTTCCAAGTGAGTACAACAATTTTGAAATGTATTCATGCAAGACCCTCTGAGACTTGGTTAACATGTGTTTAGAGCATCATGCTGTGGAAAGGCTGGAGGCCAGTGAGTGTGCAGCTGTGTGTGAAAAGGGTTATGTATGTATGCACGCTTCAGGAGGGGAAAGCTGTGCGGTTCTGGCTGCAAAATTGCAAAGACGTGCATGGGAATACATTGAAGAGTGATTACATAGCAAGTACTTAACATATGTTTCTCACAGATAGTATCTAACCTTGCAGATAGTTTTACAGTATTTATCCGGGTCTGTTTGACATTTCTGCCTTCAGCTAAAACATTTTTTCTTTTCTTTTTTGTCTTTTACAAAACAATGAAAAGTTGCATTTTAAAAACAAATCACTTTCCAGAAACGACGAAGCAGGCTAGTGGACTATGCTAAGCTAAGCTAATTGCCTGCTGACTGTGTGTTAATCGATTGTCTCATCTAACCGTTGACAAGAAGCAAGTAAAGTCAGTCTGTTTAATTTAAACATGGGCCAAATAAATTACACAGCAGATGGAGGAAGCTTCTACTGGAACTATTTTCTGCAGAAGAAATAACCCACATGAAGTCTTTGGATTATTCTACAGTAACAGAGTATCAGATATTGTTGTGCTGTGAGCACCACCAATGAAATTCCATTCACTTCCACTGTGTCGATGAGGAGGCAGACATTTCAGAGACGGATCTCAAAACCTGGACTCTACCTGTCAAATACAGGTTGATTTTTAAGGTTCTTTTATTTGTTTTTAAAGCCATACGTGCGCAGACACCCCTGTACTTTTATTTTATATTGTTCTTACAGGTTCTGTCTCTGTTTTTACATTTGTGCACATATTTGTTATTGGCTTATATTTATATATGTATGTTTTTTATTTTATTGTCTTTTATTGGTGTATGCCTTGCAACTGAATTTGTTCAGCACTTTCAACTCTGGTTGTTTTTAATGTGCTATTTAAATAAACTTGATTTGAAAACCAGACTGAACCCACCTGTATGGGCATTGCTAGGGGTCAATGAGAGAATGATTTTTGGAATCCGGCTTAATCTGGTGCTAAAGCATATATAAGTTGCAGACATTGAAGTGATGCAGAGTGGGGTCTCTCTCAATAATCGTTAGGACCTGGACTTTCTCAGAAGAGTGTTTCAGTGTAGTGTAAAGGTCAGCAGGCTGGCGCAGCCTGGGGGCCGCTGTGGTCCGCAGGAACCCAGCAGAGTTCGCTTTTTATATTTAATATCAGCAACGGGGAAAAAGATCATTCTGTCAATCTAAAGCAGGAAGGACTGATGTGTAACTTCCCAAGTTGCCAAGGTAACCCCTGAGGGATGCTGGCGGGATCTAATAATAAAAGGAGGGGGAAAGTGTGAAAGGACTGATGCATGTCCCCTCACGCCAACACACACACACAGACTCACTCCCTCAGGGTGAGTGATTGCACTGCAAAGGGTTGAAAAGAGAGCTGATGAGATCCTGAGAGGAGTGGAGGAGTGGAGGAGGGGAAGGCAGGAAAAGGGGAAGTGAGATTTAAAAGCGGGCGGTGGCAGCTGGGATCAAGCGGGGACAAGAGTCTGTATCCTGACCTCTGTGATGGTTTACCTCGCTCCATTGTGCCGCGCCGAGCCCACAGCCTTCATTTAATTCCCTATCTCATCTCAGTTCATCACACCGGCGGAGAGATCAGAGATAATAAGACCTTTTGGATCCTCACCCGGCACAGACAGATGAGAAAAAATCCAAGGCTGGTGGCTAGATAGGCACACAATCCATCTGAGCACAACCTGCTTTATCTGTCAGTGCATCTGTAGTTTCTGCTCTCCTTTAACCACAGAGGAGGAACTCGTACCTAGAGTCAGCTGCTGTACTGATCAGTTGGAATTAAGTCTTCATTCTCTTTGTGTGTTTGTTGCAGTGCCACGAGGCGTCCATCGCCATCTACAGCAGCATGGAGAACCAGCGGCTCTCTCATTGGGTCTTCATCTCTGTGGTCTCCATGATCTTCTGTCTCATCATCTACTCCCTCACAGGTTTCTGCCCCTCCCTTCCATTCATTCATTCCCAATGATTATTATTATAAGACACCCAGTTTCTTTCCATGCGTTTCCAGTATACAGTCAGCACCAGAAAAGTGTGGTATGGAGCAGTCTGTTCCAGAGGAATAATTGGACCACTTTTTCAATTTACAGCTGTGAGTCATAGCAGGGTGAAGTGAGAAACATACTTTGGAGGCTTCTAGGTTGTAAAATGACACTTGAAAGCAGTTACGTCATTATGTCCTCATGAACAAGATTTTCAGCTGCTCTAGGAATGGCAGTGCCTGTCGGTCCACTGCTTCTATCCCAACTCAAATATCTCAACACGTATGGGATGGATTGTGGTGACATATCCTACAGTTATTCAGGGTCTCCAGTACGGATGTTCCTGGAAACTCATTTGGCCATTGATTAAACAGAAATTTAAATTTTGACTAGTCTGAAAGTAATTAAACAGTCAAAATGCACCACAGTGAAAGACTATAAATACACACACTGCACACATACAACCAGGCTTCACAAGTTACTGTTTCTTTCCTCAGTATATCCTGTTACACACATTTGACACAGGGCAATGTTACATTATCTGCATTTACGTGTCGGTAAACACAATGGGATACTACTGAAATTGGCAACATATGGACAATAACTTTCTGCAGGACAGTGCCGTGAATGATTAGAAAGCAAACAGACGCTGTTTGTGTAATTAGAGAGAGAGAGAGAGAGGGAGAGAGAGAGGTCACTCTCATGGCTGATTGATCGTTGTGGGATAACCAGGTATACGATGCCTTTTGAATTTCTTCCCCTGCTGGATGGGTTCACTTTGTGAATGACAAAAACTAGATGACGGCATCTGTGATTACGTTAGCGAACTGCCAGTCAGTGTATACAGCAAGGCTGACAACTCTTTTATAATGTGACTGCTAGTTGCTCAGTGCTTAATCTCATCCTAACTGACCATACTCTGGGTATCTTTTTTTCAACTCCAGTCCACCATCTTCCCCCTGAATAGAGCCATCTCCAAGCTGTGTGGGGTTAGATGGCAGAGAGTGAAATCAGCTGCTAGAATCCTATAGCAGACAGCAGTAACCTATAACTACAACTTCTAAAGTGGGACAAACAGGACTCTTAAAACCAGCGGTGGCATTAGTGCCGCGACGAGGGGCCGCAGCCCCAGCTAGTGGCGTAAAGACGCAATGAACCAGTGTTATACATTAAAAATATAATAATTAGTTTAATCGACTAATATTTCTGGTGTTGACTAGCGAGATTAGCAACGTGTAACCGACTAGTCGACTAATCACGCATATCCCTAGTCTCCAGACAGTGACTTTGCTGATCCCCTGACATTTCCTCTGTCCGTTACATTTCTCAACTTAATGTTATGTCCGCCTCCTCGTGTAACCCGCAGTTATCTCTTGAAAACAATACGCCTGGTTTGCAGGAGGTGCATGTATGCTTACCACACATTTATATTTTATAAGTGCCATTTCATGTATGGTTGGGGGAAAGCATACGCATGTCGAAAACAATAGGAAAACAACTGTTTTGCTCTGCGACACATTTCTAGTGCCTGCTTAGTGTTGTTATAGCACACATTGAGACATTTTCAAGATTCTCAACTTCTTCATGGAGCATTTCTTCCTGTTACACCTATAAGTCATGTTCTATGAATCAAACTGCATGTTTTAGGCATACTGCTCCACTGTACAAAATCCATTTAACTTAATACCCAAACAATAAAAAGAGTCATGTCTGTTGATTGTCATCGCCATGCCCCTATGTTGTCACTTTGTGAGAGGAAATGTCAGTTTTTCCAATTTGCATCAGATACACTCCATTTGCTGCTACAGAAAATGAAACGCCATCCTCTTTTCTCTGTTGCAGGGGTTTATGGGTTCCTGACATTTGGAAAGGACGTGAAGGCCGACATTCTGATGTCGTACACCGGCGATGACATTCTGATGCTCATCGCCAGGCTGCTGTTTGGAGTCTCCATCATTACCATCTATCCCATCATCCTGCTGCTGGTCAGGTCAGGGACACGGCCTCAGTTAATTTATATCACTTCAGTTAAACCTTAGAATAAGACTCAATCTGTCTCAATGTTTCGCTGATTAAAGGACCAGTGTGTCGGATTTAGTGGCATCTAGTGGTGCAGTTGTGGATTGCAATGCCCTCGCTTCACCCTCCCAAGTACGAAGGAGAAACTATGGTGGCTATGAAAAATTCAAATATTTTATTCCTTTTCTGACAATAGATCATCCTAAATGTTACACACTGGACCTTTTTAAATCATCTGAAATATTAAGATGAAGTTTTATTTACATTTGACCTGATGTGGATGTGGATTTAATAAATATGGCTGGCTGCATAAGGACTGTCTTTAGCCACACTAATTGATCAAAACCCCTCAGATCAGTGATCCAGGACCCCCTGCTCAGATGGCGGCGGAGGCGTGATGGCGTGGCGACGCTGGAGTTCGAGAGCCGCAGCCGCTACGTGCTGACAGTCCTGTGGATAACAGTGACGCTACTAATCGCCATGTTTGTACCCGACATCAGCAAGGTCGTCAGCGTCATCGGCGGGATCAGCGCCTTCTTCATCTTCATCTTCCCAGGTAGCACTCTGGCTACAGATCCAGTCTGTTATTTTGAATGAGCTGCAAGCCTTAAACACTGTGATGTGTTTGAACAGGACTCTGTCTGATGTTTGCCATGCAGTCTGAGCCAGTGTCCTGGAAGACCAGGTGAGAAAAAAAACTTAATTTAAATGTAAATTTTTAGTAAATGAACCCCAAAGAAATACTCAAGAGATGAAAATGAATGCTGTAAAGTAAGTTGTACTGCCTGAGTGGGCGTTTATTCTCCCTTCCAGAAACCTTCAACATGTAGAGCTTTGTTCCAACACAAAGTTTGAAATGGGTTCTTCTAAACTCTCAGTAAAATGTTTTTGTGGTGGAGGTGGAGCTGTCTGAGGACACTAAAATGATGTGCAGTCACCATGACATTTCCTCACACTGTGCTTTGGTCAATGCAGTGCATGCTCAGGTCAGATTGACATTGTTTTTACGGAGCACATTTATGCTCCCGCAGTGATGAACCCTTTTAGGTTTGAATGGCCCCATGATGACTGTAATTATAAGTCATTTTCCACTGCTGGTGAGCCTCTACAAACAACAAAATCATCAGTAAATTCTGTGTGCCGTTTTGGTGACAGTGTGGTTCCGTGGTTAGCAACGTGCAGTTTAGGTTAAAGCTGCAGTAGGTAACTTTTGTAAAAATAAAACTTGTCATATCTGCTGAAACCATATCCTGACAGTTGTAAAAAATGTAATAGATATAGAGATATAGTAAACGAATATAGACTGAATAAAAAAGGGCTCAAGTTGCCTGCAGCTAACTGGGTGCAGGGGACGCCCACAGTGACAGACTCTTAATGTCTGGGGACCAGAGGGATGCATTGCAACCACTAATACACGTTTGCAACATGTTCTTCAGATGTCACACCTCTCTTTGTACCTTCTCCTCCCCAGAGTCGTCCTCACAGTTTGGGGCGTGGTGACCTTGCTCTGCGGAGCTTTCATCTTCGGCCAGAGCACCACCATCGCCATCATGCAGGTCCTCGGAAAGATCTGACCGTCCCTCCCTCCCCCGCTGATCCAGGGGCTTTTCATGGAGACCGTAGCGGTGACTAGATCTTAACTCCCCCTCTCCCTTTCCTGAAAGAGCTGACATTGAACTATGGCCGCCACAGACTATTTAAAAATGGACCCCTGAACCGATCAAGAGGCCCCTCGCAACTCGCAACATGTGGCCTTAAACCACAAAGAGACAAAACGCCGTACAAACCCCTCCCTCGTTCGGCGTCGAGGTACGTTACTTTCATAGGGGTTAACTGTTCTCAAAGCACATCGGGGTTAACTGTTCTCAAAGCACATGGTGAGGAGCAGACACTCGCTGAGATTATCTGATTGAAATTGTATTTCTGCAGTTTGTTGTATGTAGTTGATCTACAAGTGCAGATCAATGTTAACCTGCAGTCTGTGGGTAAGATGAAGAGCCTTAAACCGATGGTGGGTGGGGTGTTTTTAACAATTTAGTGTTCAAGAAAATGAAACGTTATTTCATTTTCTTGAACACTAATTTCACTTTAACGGTGGCCACGATATGCAGTTATCAGTAGTGTAACATGAAAAACAGGCTGTGCCAATATGAAACTAAAACTTTTAAGATGCCAAACATGGTGCGTTCAGTCAGTTACAGTCTGCATGTTCCCAGGAGAATATGCGATAAAGGAGGCCTGATTGGGAATAAGACCTGTTGGTATCCACTGTAGAGCTATAGAAGACTGAGTTGACAGGTTGCTTCAGGGAGCCACGAGGGATGGGGAGGATGTTTCTATACATGTATATGTGTAAAAAGAGCTGCATTTCTGTTATTTGAAAAAAAATATGTAATGATATGTTAAGTAGTAATGTTAATAGTGAATGAAAAGAAAGAAATTGAATAAAATAATTTTTATATGAAACCTTTTTTGTTTTAACATGTAGCTATTTTTAGTATAGTGGAAAATGAGGTATCTTCTTTTCGCCGTGGCCAACCCATTATCCTTCCCTTTTCCACTGGCACTGTCTTTCAGAGGCTGTAGTGGGCTCTGTTTTAAAGCTAGAGTGAAGATCCTGATACCATATGAAACTAGAAGACCTAACGCATCCGTTGGCCATGCCATGATAGCGAAAAAAAACAATCAGACTCAAGAAAGAGAGTTGATTGTTGAGTCTCAGGTAGTCAAATATCGATGCTGGGAATGAGACTCAACAATCAGCTATCTTTAAAGGCCATCGGACGTCGTCAGACAGTCGGGCGTGGTCGGTGACTCGAGTCAGTTGGCGTCGGCGTTCATTTTGGCCGATTCGACCTCAATGACCAATCTGATTGGTGGAGTGCTAGCCCTTGACTAGCGAATCAGTGAGTGCACGAGAAAACCGGAAGTGACGATGGTAAACGTGCTACGCCAACGCCAGTATCTTGTTGTTGTTATTATTAGCCATCGCATTTTCCGCTCAGCAAGTAATGACAATAATGATCCTTCTTGACTACTATCAACACTCTCTGATGAAAACAATGACTGACGACAGTTTACTAGGTCTAGAGTGATCTGTCATTTCCGGTTTTCATTTTATTTGGGCGACAACACAGATTAGCGCCGCCTGCTGTTATGGGGATGTATTACGCCTTGCGTACACGCAGAACGTACACTCCACTCTGTGTCGGTTTGGTGTGTTCGGAGGCACTTTTTTGACCGACTCGGGGAGACGGGAGCCGACTGATCAGTCAGACTGCTTTTCTGCCGGCGGGTTGGTGTGTCCTGGCCTTAAGCCTCCAACCCAGAGTGTCTTTCTGTGTTTGTCAGCTCTGATTGGTTGTTCTCGTTCAGTCCCGGTGGATTCTTGCAAATGTCATTAGGAGCACTAGGAGGAGCACTTTTTTCACAAATTCTGTCTCGTACTACTGTTTGGATATAGTGAAAGTTTCAGCAAATATGCTACTGCAGGTTTAAGAATAACTACATAGAAACAGTCAGTCTTGTCCCTGATGGTCTTGTTTATGTAGGTCATATAGAGGCATTAAATTGAGACTGTTTCATAACCAGTCAACCTTTTAGTATGTTTAAGTAAAAGAAAAAGTACTGTCTCTGTATCTGTGATGATTTCCATTGTGCATTTCATTGTGTTAGAGTCATGGACATTGCACAGGCGGAACTTAAAGCTGCAGTAGGTAACTTATAAAAATAACTCTTTCACTATATCCTGACAGTAGAACATGAGACAGATAGTCTGTGAAACAACCAGGTTCCTCTGGCTCCTACAAGAGCTCCTAATTTGTATTTGTTTTCGTCCAGGCCCGGTGGGTTCATGCAACAGTCAGAGCCAAGAAAGCTAAAAAGACACTTTTCACCGGGTTGGGGTCTCATTCCCAGGGCATCAAATAGAGACACTTTGGCACCCTGGGACTCACCAATCAAATGTCTTTCTCAGCTCTGATTGGCTGTTTTCGTTCAGGGCCGGTGGATTATTGCAAATGCCATTAGGAGCATTAGGAGGTCCTAATGTAGGTCCCTGCTGGTTTGAGTTCAGGTTTGTGGCTTACCTCATTTGAACACTCGTCAAACCATAAAGTAAACATTTAATTGAGGATTGTCACACTTAATGATTGGACTTCAGGACGGACACTCCACCACAGGATGAATGAAAGCTGAAATGAATCACAGATCTGCCAGAAGCTTTCAGCATGAAACGAGTCCCAATGTGAATCATCAGCAGGATTTAAAAAGCCACAAAGCACAGTTTTCAGTTTTATCGTTTTATTGAATTGCATCACTCTACATCGTCTAGAATTTCAACAAGATATTCTTTAAAGACCAAATATAATACTTGCATCCCTGCAATAAGTCTCTACACTTAAGAAGAGAAAGCTGTTTTACTGAAACATACATTAAGAATTAATATTTCATTAAACATTGCCATAAAAGTGAATGTTCATTCTTGTATGCCATTTTTCTAGTCATATATATTTTATATAATAGATTTTAGTCTCTGTCTCCTTCATAGGGATACTAGAAAAGAAAGAAGGTAAGAAATGCACAAAACCCATTGAAGAGTAGCATGGCCTAATACTACAGCAAAGAAGTTACTGGACATTCAGTTGACATGCACTCAGTTGAAGGATAGAAAAGAACACAGCCATAGAAGGGAAGAGTTATGACCTTGATCAGTTTGGCAAATTCCTGATTGGCTTGGTATCAACACCTGTTGAGGTAAACCTGGTGACCTGCTTCCTGTCCACCAGCTTCCCTACGGCTACAGAAACTGCTGCTGCCTACAGGAGGCCTTACGTCCACCCATTGTTAATCTTGTCATGTTGCCAGGAGACATTCAATGTTTCACTGCACCTCAACGGCACAACTCTTCCATTGTATGACGAAGCACAGGTTGCACTGAGGAGTAGGAGGATAGAAAAGAACAGGTTGCACAGTCTGAGGGACATTCAGGAATGTATCAATAGGAAACAGTATTGGCATTTCTGACAGTTCACTCACTATCTACCTCATATACACAACCCAACCAAGCTGGGCACAATGTACAGGACAGGAGCCTCCGATCAGAGCGCGTGGGTTGCATTCAGCTGGGCACTCGAGTACTGTAAAACTATGGCTATCAGTATAGTGAGTCACTGACATGTAAACATCAATCCATGCAATATGGCTTTATGTTTCTATTCGGAATACAGCAGCTCCCTCTCGAACGCAAACAAGCTTCGACAGTTCGTAGTGAGTAGTTTTCTTTTTTAAGAAGTGAAAGGTAGCCTGTGGGGCTTTCTTGGGAACAAACCAAAGTCATGTTTACATTCATTGTTTCTCACTGTTGTTCTGTCACTAGCTTAGCTGCAGTTTTAGGTTTAGGACTGGGTTAAATCTGAGTTGTCTGGAACTAAAATCACTGTAGAAATTCTAACTGAGGTTTAACTGCAGACTAGAGTTCTGGTAGCTTCTATTTGTTTTTATTTTTATTTCTTTTCTGATAATATGCAGGGATGCTGAAATCGGTCAGAGTTAGGGGTGCTGAGAGAAAGTCAGTCTTATGACCTCATACTAAATGCATGATATTCATGGTTTTTGCATTAATTTTAATGGCCAATGTATAGCCTATTCAATAGTTAACATTTTACACAGATTTTATAACTTCTTAGCAGATGTTAAACCATCACTGCACTTTCTACTTCCATAAATATTACTGTGTACATGTAAGTCCCAGACAACGTGCTTGTTTGGCTGTTTTTGTTTGACCAAACTGACAGACTAAAACGACATTCCCTGTATATTTTTATGCAATATTGTATCTGTTTTTTTTTCTTCTTCTTCTAAAATCTAGTTTTTATTTTTATTTCAGCCAACAAATGTTTTCTCACAACTAGTTTTAGTTTTGTTTTAATTAACTAACCCAGACGCAGACACGGTTTAAGAGAGATGTAAGGGAAGGTCTGTGGTACTCTGAGCATTTGGAAGAAGATGGTGTTATAGAAGCAGCAATGAGGGAGTCAAATGAGTGGCAGAATAAGGTGTTTACCGAGTTCTTCAGCTGAACTCTATAGGGAGCCGGTGTAATCCAGTTTCTGAATTTAGTGTTTGTCAGAAAGCTCACTGCTGCATTCTGCACCAACTATAATATGTTTGATTTCTGCTACTGGGAACAGGACACAGGATTTAGGATAAAATATAATCTCATGAGGTGACTAAAGTAATGTTCTTTTTACGTTAAAATTTTTTTAATATTTGCACAAATCAATGTTAAAGTGTCCAAAATGTCAGTTGGTCCACATGTCATTTAAATATTTGTTTGGCTCTTATTTGACATTATACCATGGGTATGCCCATTTAGTTTAGCTCGCGTCTGCGTTTCAAACCCCTGCAACTTTAGCTAAAGCGCAAATGCTAAGTGACAGAACAGTTCCACTGTGTGTTTCCTTGAGGTCTAACTAATGTTGTTGTCCGCTGTACCGCCACTTACCGCTGACCAGAAAAATAGCGGGAAACCAGCGGCAAGAATGTGTACCCTGTCGCCTGCACCACACAAACAAAACAGTGAGAACATCGCCCTGTAGCGCTACTGGTGGTCAAAAACTCCACAGGACACCTTTAACACAGACACTCAGATTAGTAGAGACATTTCACAGATAAAGCAGCAACGCCTTTACATGCCTGTTCTATAAGCCTACTGTAATACATAATTCTGTTACAATATATTTAATAATATTCAACACTTCCACATAGCCCTGCCCTGCGCAATGCAACCCAGTGCTCTAAAAGAAGGGCACGGTGCAGGATGGATATTGGTATCGGTGTAGCTGGATCCCCACTGCTACCACAGTACTGGCAGATGACAGACTGGCTGTCATTCACAGAGGAAAATAGTCAACAATGAGGTGGATGGCAAGATGGCACCTTTTTGAAAGTATAGAGCTATAAAGAAGGAGTGATTCATCAACAAACCTTTCACCAGATAAACAGTAATACTATATATCTCTAAATACTCTCTTCACACTCAACAACCTCTAATATACTGTATCTTTAACTTACAATACTTGCGCATTTTTACATTGTGCTTTCTGAGTTAGGGTCTGATTGGTGGGCTGTGTGTAGCGGTGTTAGTGGTGGTGAGGTTAGGTGAGGTATCTCGGGGACTGAATCTGGGTAATTTGACCTCACAGGGTAAACAAGGTGAGATTTGTTTTTGTCAAGAAAGATCAGAGCAGATGCAGAGGTGGGTCTGATCAGTTCCATGGGGAAGTCCAAACACAGAAAATTAGACAAGACTTCAGTTTGTGTACCTTATTTTTTTCAGCAGTTTGTAGACACATGGTCACAATTCTGTATAATGTACAGTAGAGGTTTCAATCTACTCGTATGCATCGTAGAACGAAAGGCCAAAATGAAAACTATGCACAGGAGTCAAAGACTGACACAGACCCTCTAACAGTTTTCTCATTGGCCAATAATATTCTCATCAGAGCTTCCAGATGTTGGTCTTGTCTTATATTTTGCTGTTCAGACCAATCTAGCATTTGCATTCTGATGGTCCACATTTTTCTGTAATGTCCTCCAGTTGAATTATGGGTAAGGGACCCTTGTATCCAATAATTGGGGTTGACCGTGGCAATATATAGGATCATTGTGTGTTATAGATATTGATGCTGAGGTGGTTGATCTATCAGCTACAGTATACTAAGTGATGTGAAGTCAAGGTTATTTTCCCGGTGATGTGTTGATAACTGAACTGATCACTAATGCGAAAGTGAAACCATCTTTGTATCAATATTGTAATGCGTCGCAATACTGGTGTTGTGTAGTCTGATGCCAAGAGCTCCACACTGAAAGACCACTAGTGGGCATTTCCCTGCTTACTGGGAATCCATATCAAAAAAGAAAGTCATCTCTTGAAAACCTTTAAAACCTCCTCTAGCATGTGGTGATGTTTAAGGCTTCATATTCAATGTCATTCAGATGGATTTCTGTCTGAAGTTTCTAATGGTAGGTATTCTGATTCAAACTGTTACGAGAAGCCGCAGTGCCTACAGAGCTACTGCCACTTCCACTGAGAAAAACTTTGCACCATAGCACTAAAAGATGTCAATAAATACAAATATAATCATAATAGAACAACATTTTCATATGTACAATCTCTACTAGACCTGCACAGCTAATATAAGCTACCCATCGCCAATTCAGACAAGGAATACACAAACAGAAGGCGGAAATTAAACAAACTTTAGCTGCATGGAGAACAGTGAGGCGCTGCCTCTATCTCTTTTTTACTTTTCTATCTCAAGGTAGCAGCAGATTCTTTTCTATGTCAGGAATTATCCCATGACAGCAAAACGATCTATTCATCTCACGCCTTACGTGACCCTGATGTCAATATTTAGAGATTGAACTCATAACCAGTGTTTCATGAAATAAAAGCTACATGAAGAAGATCTAAATCACTAACTCTCTGAATGTGCCTCTACGCGTCTGTCAATCAAAGACTGGTGTCTACCTACCTAAATATTTGTGAAGACTCGGATCTAATCATATCTGAAACTGGCCCTCTCCTATTGGCTGGCCTTTGGTGCTGATGTAAGATGTGATCATAATGTCTTCAGTGTTTTGGGTTTGGGGTTCTGTTGCTCATTAAAAACCGGTGCTGTTTACACATGCTAAATAAGTTCATATACCGTCATAGACATTACTCCCACAGCAGCCACTGTGCAGAAATGTACTTATTGTGAGGAAGCATGATAAAGCTCACGGGTCTGAAAGAATAAAAGTTTGTATTTTGAGGTAAAATACTATATGCCGATAAGAAAATTACACTTGGTGGCTGCAGCCAGTTACAGACTGGTATAAATGTAAGTTAAAACCTAAAGTTACAACGTAACCCTGGTTCTCAGATAGCACGAGCGAGCAGAGGACTGTAGCTTAAAGTTAGGTATTGAGTGAAAGCTCACCCTCTCTTGTTAATACTAGTACAAAACTGACCCTTCCCAAGTCCCGCCCCTTTTAGAACTGGTCAACTTCCTCCTTTCCTGTACTTAGATATGCTAGGTGCTAGGCTTGTCTATGTGGAAAAGACAACCATATTTTGAAGATGGCTCAAACGTAAAAACAAAATATATATTCACGTCTTAAGTTAGCTAATGTTAACCCAGTGTTTTGCTAACATTTATTATGAGATGTAACTAGATAGATTAGCTAGCTAGTTAGTTATCTAGGGTTCAAGGTACAGGAAAGGAGAAAGTTGACGAGGTTCCGACTGAGGCCTGCTTAACTGTTATTGGAGAAAAAGGGGGCGGGGCTTAGGAAGGGTCAATTCTTTTTTTAGATGGTAAAATGTTTCTTTTTTTCATTAAATCTGTTTTAAAAGATGTCGGATACAGTATGTCATATCTGCCTTCCTTGTAGTATTCAGAGTCCCTCCCACTCCAAAAATAGGAGTTTGAAAAACAGTGGTTGTCTTAAATTCACTTAAATTCAGGCTAATGACACTGGGCCTATTGCAGCCTGCTGTCAGAAGCTAACACTGATTCTGGTTTCTGCTTTTTGCTACCCCTAGCTAGCTCTTGTCCTTATCAGTGCAGAAATTCTAAAATTACACATTATACTTATTTCTTTCTTAAAGCCCATTCGCTGCTTGCAAGGCCATCATGGTTTTTTACCATAATATGTATAGTTCTTGACACTACCCCAACTCAGTGACTTGGGGACAGCTAGCTAAGGAGCTAGCTAACCTTCAAACTAAATTCAAGCATTCTGTTTTCCTGAGATTGCAAGCTAATCTGGCAACTAGGTCGGTCGATAGTCCTCATTTATTCAATATGTTGATGTGAGTTCAAAATGGCCGATGTGAGAATAATGTCTAAAGTATTTTGTAGGGTAGCTTAGTTAAAAAACAAAATCATTAGAGCACTTTGTATTGAGGCAAATGTGGGATGAGCAGCTACGATGAAATAACAGCTAAATGAGCTACCTGTGGTAAATCCAACCCTGACAGGAGAGAAACAAAACGCATTCCCGAATGCACTACTCAAAAACTAAGTAACTGCTACATGAAAAACTCAACGCCAGGGTCCTTGCTACATGACAAACCCCACTTTACAGTGGCTCAAAGCTACTTGAAACGTGAACATGACATAATCCAATATCTTGAGCCAGCAAACAACTATGGTGAGATGCAAACGCATTTTAGGAATCTCACATTGTAAAATGCACTGTTTGTTCAATTTTCACTGCAGTTGACACCATTAATTTGCACTGTGTAAACATGTACTTACAAAAAGAGTTAAGGAATGTGAGGGTTGAAAGAGGAGGGGTTTGGAGGGGGGTGAGAGCGGGTGAAACGCATGGGGGAAAAGATTTTGGGGTCGGAGGGGAGTTAAAGAGGAAGTGGGTGTCCAGGAGTCTTGGCGTGTAGTTGAATATCTTCATGCTCAGTCCCTGTTCACACTGCACCAGGCGGCTGCAAACAGAGAGAGAGAGAGAGAGAGAAAGAGGGATGACAAGTGAGAAAGAGATTGAGAGGGAAAAGAAAATGAGCCCCAGAGGGGGGTACGGACAGAAAGATGTGTGAGGGAATGAGAGGAAACAGATTGAATAGAGATGAGGAGGAATTTGGCGAGGCAGAGAAAGACAGAAGACAGAGAGTGAGGGGAGATGGGTAAAAAATGAGACAAGAAAAAAGTACAAATGGCAGTCTGCCAAGCATCACCTCAAGTCACTGACAGTCCCCGCCTCAGAGCGTGGATGCATGCCATGTCTGAACAATTAAAGCAACCTGGCACTATTTAAAACGTCTGAGTGCATCTGAGCTTCAAGTAATACACAGCCAGCCTCACTGACTAAACAATAATCAGTTTCTCAGGATTAGGAGGACACTGTATCATTAGAGTTCTGCTCTGTAATTGTGTATATTTACATCATTTCCTTGTTTTCTGTTCATTACTGACTAACTTTAATCCTATTCTGTTCTATTGTTTTCTATTCAGTGCTGTTATCGATCAAGAACAAATGCCAAACATTCATTGTTATCAGGTTCTCAAATGAGATTTTGGCTGCATTCCATCTTCATTATATTGGATGGCTTTGGACTGTTGGTTGGACAAATCAAGCTATTCTAAGACGTCATTTTCAGCTCCCTGGACACTATTTTCTGATATTTTACCAGCTAAACAATGAATGAATGAATCTAAAAAATGATAGCCGAATTAGGAATGTACTGCAGTGAATAAGTATTTCACTTCCTACAAGAGATATTAAAAAAACAGGTCAAAAATTAAGCAGCAGAGGCTGACACATTTGATCTGTCCCAGGGTCCATACTTGCTTTCTTGAGCACTGGAGTGTGTGTTCATGCGGCAAAAGCTAGTAGGAAAGTCCCATGGCTCAAAAATGCCAACACTTGCCAACACACTTAGTTTGCAGCTGTTTTGGAGCAGTATTCAGAGCCACAAGTATCCCACAATTCAGCACGGTCTACTGCGTCAAATCACTTTTGAGATTGACAGTAATTAGGTGGTAACCACTTAATATTAAAAATGTGTTCTTCTTGATGAGACTGATACATGTAAAAACCATATAGGAATAACTTTTAAATATGATATCCTTTAATCAATAATTTGATTAATATGTTTCTGTTTGTTCCCTTACAAATGTAATCAGACAGCAATCATTCAAAATATCATGTTACGTCTCTTTTATGTATACCAGGCCTACAGTATGTGCTTCAGGATAACTCAATCTAGTGGCTTTATTAGCTATATTAGTCCTTCAGCTCCTGAGGGTAAATCTGTTTTTGGTTTGTTTTTTTTAAGTTAAAGTTCTTCGAGTTGTGAAGACCTTGTTTTTCTTAAAGTGTAATATAAGCTGCAATTTTGGTGTGTATGTTTGAAGAATAAACTTCATAATTCCCCAAATTCTGACCACATGCTTTTTTATTAACAGCTTTTACTTGTACTTTGAGTACATTTAATATCAGAAATTTACTTTTGATACTTAAGTACAGTAAATATTACATACTTTAACTTTTACTCAAGTAATGTTGTAATAGGTGACTTTAACTTTTACCAATTTTTTTCAATTTCTAGTGTGGCTTTCAGGTAATTTATCCGCCACTACTTTCAATTAAATAAAATTAGCAATACAATTGTGTTACGTACAATGTAAAATATTTGATATTGAGTAAAACCCTGTATTCAAAATGTTACTTAAAGCTGTAGTAAGTAAGTTTTATGTAAGTATTATTCTTGCAAATGCCATTAGGAACACTAGGAGGAGCCAGAAGAACCACATTTTTTAGCAAATATGACAAAAAGTTATTTTTAGAAAAGCTATCTACTGCACCTTTAACATCCTTTACTTTGAATTGTTTGAGTACATTTAATATCAGAAAATTGCCTTTGATACATACAGTAAATATTAAATGCTCAAGTAACATTCAAAATATGTAGTGAAGTAGAAGTAAAAAGCAACATAAAAAGGAAAAAAAAAAAAAACCTCAAAATTGTACTTAAGTACAGTCAGGCTTCATTAGTTTTGTCCCAGGTGTGTTCCCCATGAAAAGTAAACTGATCCTGATGTCTAAAATCTGGACTGCTCCTTTAACTGATGCTAGAAATCATTTTATTCTCTTTGTTTTACTGTGTAATGTTTCACCACTGACCTGGCACGGCTACAGAGGACATGGCCTCCGGCTGGCACAGTGTATCCACCTTCACATGCTGAAAGGCTTTGTTGGGGGCCGACTGGAGGTGCCTGGAATCAGAAGGGAGGGTGATAGAGAGCACACACACACACACACACACACACACACAGCTACGCACATAACACGTATGGACATGAGCACATGCATCTGCATATCCTGCTCATAAGCGCATGCAGCCCCTAACTGTTTAGCATGGCCCTTAGCCTTTACTGTAAGAGCTGAAATATTAATGTCGGTTAGATGCTGTGAGCAGTGGAGCAGAAAGTCAGATCAGCAGGCAGCTACATCAGCAGCCTCTCCTCAAGCCCAGTACCAGAGCCATCACTAAATCATGATGACCTGACGCAACTCAAGTGCTTCAGCAACTCTGGAGTGAGCGGCTGGCTGAAGAATGCTAATTAAATGTGTGTGGAGGAATTTATCCAACAGGCTCACGACACTAATGGAAGAAAAGTGAGCGCTCTCTTTATTTGGCAATCACAAATCAATGAAAACAATGGCAGGAGGGAACGGCACGCTCAGCTCCAAAAAACTTTCAGAGGAGCCAGAGTGCTAACTCATGGGCATTTTAAGAAACAAAATGAATGTCCACACTCAGTAATGACTTTGAATACTTTTACTGTGGATCAGCATTGGGAAGGAACCATTTCGCAGCAATGGGCCTTCCTCAGCATTTACAGATGTTTCATTCTGCCTGTTGATTTGGCTCACTTTTAGTATCACAGAAGACTTCTACTTTAACTGTATTAGCGCTGTTTTAGAGGCTTGTTCACACAAGTCACAGAAAATTAACAAGCTCTTATTACAGGCATGTATTACAGATATCAGCCTGGGGCTTAGGATTAAAGGCCGTCCACACTCAGAGCGATAACTATAACAATAACTATAATTATACCATGGTATTGGTGAATACTCGATTCTGATTGGCTGCTGGGTGTCCAGTAATTCCTGATGTAGGACACCTACTAAGTGGTCCCAGTGAAAGTCTGTTCACCGTTCTAAATGAATATATTATTATAACACTGAGTGTCGTCCTTCAGTGGCTCATCCTCTGAACTCCACAGGATGGTGACTGTAACACACAAGCCCTTACACTGCCCCTCTGAACTCACTGGTGTGATCCTCCCACATCCTGTCTGTTATTCAGCACACTACTTCAGGCTGTGGCCTGTTGTTCGGATGGAGGGGATTCCTGTATGTCCTGTTGCCAAGTCGTATCTATGGTTCATATCACTGAATGGCAGTGGCGAATGATATCGTTGGGAACACTTTTGAACAGCGATTTGATCATCAGTGTGGATGCTGACATTGTTATTGTTCTTGGTGTGGACGGCCCTTTAGGCTTGAAATATTATTATTTTGAAGTTACATAAAGCCACTTAAAACTCACCTCTTCCACTCCTCCTCTCCATCCCAGAACTCGTAGACGACAAAGGATAAACCGTCCGGCAGACGCACCGCAGTCACACTGGGGGAGAGACAGAGGAGAGAGGGAATGAGTGGACAGTAGAGGAGGGAAGGCGTCGTGGAAAGGTACGGGTAGAGAAAGTGAGAGTTATGACCGAATGGTAAGTAGATCATGGAGGGGAAGGAGGTGAGAAGAGGAGATGCATGTATACAGTAGATTGATGGCATAAGTGATAGCAGAGGAGGGAAAAGATAAATTAGATGTAGCATAAGGGGGAGTAAAAGAAGAATGATGGAGAGGGGAGGGGGAGGTTGGATGTTATTGGCCAATTATATAAGGCACATTATTGTTGGGCTAGGCAATACGCCCTATAAATAAAATATCAGGTTTTTTCAGACTATATCTGATTTAAGATTTTAATCATTTTTCTTCCTAAAAATAAAGGACACTGGCCTTCTTCCCATATGGGGACATACACATACATAAACTGAACACAATACTTATTTCTATGTTACTTCTTACTCTGTGTTGTCTCATTAGTGCCAGTGATCAAAGACACAATGGGTGAAATATCAAGCAAAATCAAGAATATTATTGACCAATCGCCCTGGCTAGTGTTGTTTCCAAAGTAGGTACTCTTCTCGTCTTTGGTAACATTGGAACAAATGTGTTTTAATCCCTTTGCTTTTATGTCTCTATGCTGTTGTCCATCTATTGTATTTTGTATTTGTTATGTCAATACGGACCTATGTGTCTGAAATAATGTTAAAATGAATTATTTCTGTGCCCCTCCAAAATGAAAATTGTCTGGCTCGGCCACTGCATCATGTAGCATTCAACAATCAACACAGCATTCAACGTTAGGTCATTAGGAGTATTTTCTACGTCTTTAATCAGTCTAAACATTTAACACAAGAAGACTGTGAACTGCTTAAGCTCTATGAAGAGAAAAGAAATTGGCCCAAGGTACAAAGAGTGTTCAACAAGACACAAAGGCCTCTAATTTAGTGCCGGTAAAAGCGGACAGCAGCATCAACTCCCACTTTCATCCGACTCAAGTCCATTAGTTGCACCTGCCTGTTTAGTCATTTTCTGGCTCTAAACGCATCGAAGGGAGAGGAGTGGAGCAGCTGAGGTTGTGTTTATGCAGATCAGGCGGCACAGTGCAATTCTGGTACTTGTTTCGGCACAAAATTACACTTGCATTTATGCCTGCTCGGGGAACCTCTTATCACAAACATAATTTTCATTTCAATTTTCAAAGCAATTTTCATGGTGTAGCACAAAATCACACACAGAAGAAAAAAATCACCTTTCATGCAAGTTGAGTTTTGCCTCTCTCACACTGATGTAGAGTTTCAATCTGGTACTAAATGCGCAGGCACATGAGCTTTTGTGTTTGTCTATATAGCAGACTGGTACACTGTTCCACAGAGAGTCCATACAGTGACAGCAGGTGGATCATAACAGGCATCCTGAGCTCCATCAAAGACCTCAGGACTTAATCAAAGTAATATTTTCTGTCATGTGAACAGGATTGTTAAATCCAGGCCTTACTTACTGTCTTACTATCTGCACTATTTTAGTGCATTCTCTATTATAGTGTCTAAATGTACACACAAATGACTGAATGCAACCTTTGTAATCACTTAATAAGATTATACCCAACAGGCAGTGATAAAGGGAAAATGTTTTGCTGATATGATTGTCTTAAATAACTTCACATCATTATTTAGTGAAAGGAATTCCTGTCTCAAGAAATAAAAAAATCAACATAATAAGAATTGCTTTGGCGTTGTTGTTGCTCCAGCTAACAGGAGCTAGCTTGCTAAATTTGGTAAATGTTGCTGAGGCAGGGGGCATGGCAGAGAAAGGTGAAAGATGGCGTGAAATAAAGGTTGCCAATGCCAGATTGCAAACAGGGCAATATCAATATATACATTTCTATAATTTAATTAAAAAAAATCTCTGGTTTTAGATCATGAACTACAATTTCATTATAGAGTTTTAATAATTTTTTTAAGTAGTTCACAATGTTTTATCAAAGTATTTTGCAAAGTTTATTCATATGATAGATTATTGATCATATGTGTCTTTTTTATGAATTTAATATTGAACACCTAATATGCAACTAATTCAGGATGAGTAAAAACTGAAATGCTCTGTTCATGCATCTCTTAAGGTGCTACCTGGTATAATGCTTTGCCATTTTCTGTAATCTGTTGGTGTTTATCGCTTGGCCTGAGCAGTGTAAACACAGCCCAAAAGGTAGTTCTTCCCCTGAACCTGAGGAGGGCACTGGGGGGACAGGCTGCCTACTATATATACCTGCTAAACCTTCTCAGGGCTTTAAAAGAAATGACTTGAGTTGTGTGAGCTCTGCTGGAGGCTATAATAAAGTGTTTGTGTACATAATCACATATTCACCCCAAAAGATAATGAGCATGGGAGGCAGAGATTAAATAACCTTTATATATGACACTTTGCGTTTGCTCAAGATTAAATGAAGAGAGACGAAGAAGGAGAGCACACAGCAGAGAGAAGTCTATTCAGAGGTAATGAGCATGCTCGCTTCCTCCATCAGCGAAGCTTCTCCTCCCTCATGCATTATTTACCTCAGCTACCTATAAGCATTGTGCTGCCACCACATTTACTGATAAAGTAAGACAGTAACAAAGGGACCAACAAGACAGTGAAGAAGCGGAAAAAGGCTAAAAACAAACAAAAACTAAAAGCCCCATCAGCATGACTGAAAGGCTGAAAGTTCTTTGGCACATTTTACTCTCAAAAATAGATATTCTATGTCTATGGTAAATACTATTTTTTTCAACTATTCTATAAGAAGAATATGGCTGTATATGTAAGTAAACCCTATATTTTGTAATTGTGTACACAAAAACCTTTGTTTACACTGTGGCTCAGCGTAGTGTCAGCTTAATAATGCACATGGCCGTGCTACTTTGAAAATGCACTGCAAAGAATAAGCTACTTGATTTTTTTATTTTTTATTTTTATTTTAATCTTTTGAACTAATTTGGCAATCGCTTTACAGCTCACAGTCGACTCAAAGACAGAACTGAATCACGGTCTGCATGGGGGCCACATCTGGTAGCCACTTACGGCCCTATTCTGACCCTGTGTTTTTTGGCAATGGTTTTACGTGTGTTCAGTGTTCAAACCAGTGTTAACTGACTAAATCTTCTCATTTAACTATATATCTACACTTACTACACATGCAGTGCTCATAGGGAAGGAGACGAAGAGAGAAACCTGTCTGGTCCAACATAGGGCCAGAACAGGGCCAGCTATGGTCATACAGTCAGCTGAGATATGGTTAAGTCTGTATATATGTGGCTACCAGATCTGGCCCAACAAATTCATTGCTGTATCTGTGTAAGTGTAAGTGGGCTGTGTGTGCCGTCACTGGGCCAGACCAATTTTGCTATGAGGGATTATGCAGCATACTCTGTTTACAATGCAGCAACAAGGGTAGTCTGAAAGATAGGCGTATTGGATATTCTTTGGATACTGGATATTCTTTGGATATTGAATATTGGATATTTTTGGGGGCATTTAAAGTTGTGCTTGCACTTGGATACAATTACCAAACTACGGTTTCCAACTAAGGAAAGAGTGAATATGGTTAAAGCAATTTTCTTGCCATTTCGACTTTTTAAGTAAACGTGAGGATTCACATTTAGAAACAATTCGATTTGGTGTCCTAGTCTTTCTGACACGAGTTGCGGTATGTGCCACAGCCGTCATACCACTCCCTCCGGCTAGTAGCCTACAGCTCACTAGGCTATGTTTTTAACATCTTATGCCACAGTCGCTACCCGATCCGTACATCCTGATCCTTACTGTGCATTTGCAACTCTCAACAGAGATGAGATGTCAGCGAGATGGCTGCTCATTAGTTACTTCCATCAGCAGCTCTGGAAAAACACAATGTGTTTACCCTAACCCTCTCTAATAACCCCCGAACACAGTTCAGGCACAGAAACTTCTTGCTTTGGTCTTTAGTGTTTCACCTGAAGGATCCCTCCACCTGTGTGTGCTATCTATTGACCTCAGCTCAATCACTGAATACATTTTGTCCTCCGAGAGCAGAGTGTGACTTACTGGCTTTTTATCTGTTAGGAAAGTGGCCTTAAAGGTTCCAACAGACCTTGAAAATCCTTGAAAGTTTGTGAATTACAGAAAATGTTTAAAAATGGATGGATGAAGTTACTGATAAAATATAGAATCCATATGCAGTAATAAGCCCAAACTCTTCAAATAATGAGCAAAACTGGATTTTTATTTGTAAGGTAGTGTATTTAAAATCAATAATTTAACCCTGATTTATTTAACTAATATCTAATTTGTCATGTCTAATTGGTTAATTAACTCTTAACACAAAGCATAACTGAGGCTGATGGGAGTGTCATTAAGGTATTGGACAATTATATTATATTTTGACCTGATGATGGCGCTAGATGAAAAGTTAACTGGTTTTTGTTTACATCACAGACAAGCAGTAGTGTCATACAAACGGCGATGCTGGAGCAGCTTTTATTATAGAGATAAATGTGTCTTAAACAGTGCTGGGATCAGCATCAGTAAATCATAGTGCCAGTTGCTGAACTTTCACAGCAGCAAAAGAGGTTTTATATAAGTTTCAAAGGTCGGGACGTTCAATTTCAAGTTTCTTAGCATAGCCTGTCCCTTGACAACTGGGGTAGAGCCATGGTTCACTACAGGGATTTGATTGCGTGTGACCAACTTTTCCATAATAGAGTGAGCCTGAGGCACTACAGCACTTCATAACCAAAAAGATAAACAACAAATTGACTCCAAACCCTTTGCCCCATTCCACTCTCCATCTTCCATCCAGATGATTTTAGGGCATTATTTGCTCTGAAACATCCCCTCCCCACAGGCGCCAATTTATGACAAGATATGCTGGCACTGTTCTGTTGGGAGGTCACAAAATGTGGTGAACTAAATTAGAGTGAGGTGGGTGCAAACATTAGAAATATGAATTTATTCTCTTGCTGCTTTGGCTTGGTTCAGTTGTTTTACTTATAAATGTAGATACATGAAAACATTTGTATTATTACACCTCAGTGGTTCTTGCTCAATCTGAAAGCCTTTGTATGTATTTACGCTGCTTTACATTTAGCAGACACCTTTGGCAGCAGTTACAGCCATAACTTCTCTGTGGATACTGTTAGCTCGTCTCAACAGTGCATTTCCCTCCATTCTTCTTTGAGAACAGCTCAGCTGGGTCTGGTCGCATGTGGATTGTGTGAGTGAACAGAAGTCCTGCCATCAATTTTGGACTGGAATGAGGTCTGGACTCTTATACCATTAATGTTGTTTTTAACTACTTCTTTTGCAGCAAGTATTCCTCCAGGATTTCAGAGTCTGCTGCACATAAAACATCCCCACAACAGTATGCTGCCACTGCCAGGCTTCACGGTGTGTTTCTGCTGTGTGCTGCTTGGATTATTATACCAAACTGCCAAACACTTCAGTTTGGTTACATCAGACCAAAAGCACCGGGCTACACTGCATACTCCAGTGTGTAGTATAACTCTATGTACTCCATATCTCCCATCTCAACAGTTTTTAAAGATGTTCCTGGCAGATTTACAACTGTACAATATCTTTTTATGACTGTACTCCGAGGGATATTCACTCCATACGCAATTAGTTCAATAAACTTGTCTCACATTTGTTTGTTTCTTTGTCTTTAAGATGTACAGTGGGTTCAGACAGGGAACTGACTATACAGCAGTTGGGTCTTCCAGATACAGGTGCATTCAGGCTAATGTCTTACCTTGATAACACACAAATCATCTCCATTCAATTTATTACGCAACTTCTAAGAACAACTGATCCTTCCTAAGTCCCACCCCTTTTTGCTCTGTGCTCCAATAACAGTTGCCTCGGTCGACTTTCTCCTTTCCTGTTGTAGATATGCTATGTGCTAGGCTTGTCTATGTTGAAAAGACAGCCAGAAAATCTGTTGTATGCAATTTTTCTATGTCTCAAATTACTCCAAAAGTATGTAACATTATGCAAAGGCAGTATGCATTATGTGGAGCTGTCATTCCCTATACCTCTGTCTCTGCCCCTCTTGAAGACCCTTTATCCCAAAGTACAGACTACAGTTGCTAGTGGGAGAAACTATAATACAAATAGAAGAAATGCAGTAGAGCCAGAACCTTGAAGTCTCGCCAAGGGCATATGCAGGATATGATTCTGGACTATGCATAAGGCATATTGAGTCTGGGATTTGGAGAAATCTCACTGGATATTAGACAGTTTCACTGCACCCTGAGGCTCCGAGTGGAAAGCACAGGAGGTTTGTAATAGGAAGGCATGTGTATATCACACTATACTACAGGTACAATATTATACACATTGGGTATGCAGCATGATATTAGTATCTGACTGATCCAAGCCCCACAGGAGTTACAGCATTTTTGGGGATTTGGGAAAGATAATGATGAAATACCCACTGAGTGCTTGAACACTAAAAATACTGACACAATCTGAGACCAGAGGAGGGAATATTTGAGGTAGCACTTAATAAAGTGAGAAAAACAGTGAGGTCCTGACACTGAAAATGGAACACATTAAATATTAAAAATGATTAGGGTTATGGTGCTGCACTCTGTAGCAGCAGCGGTGACAGTACATTTATGAAAATGTGGAGTGCTGGTGAGACTTACTGAAAGCAGTCTCTCTGAGTGGACACATTCTTCAGGTACTGCTTCAGAGCCTCGCAAAACTCGCCAAGCTTCTTCTGGGAAACCACCATCTCCTGACGAATCAGCAACAAGGACTGTAGAGGAGGAGAGACAGACGGAGGTCAATTTTGTACTGACGTTTCCATTTAGGTATAAGCCGCTGGGTTTGTTACAAACAGACAGATATAGATACAAATATATGGTTCTGTACTAAACAATAAAACTTTTTAATTGGCTCTTTTGTTTGTCTTTGTTGGCTGACATTTCTCATTTTTCAACCCAAAATACATTTATGTACTTCTAATCTGCTTTGCCAAATACATTTTGGAGGAAATGTAATTACTGCACCGATTAAGTTCACTGCGTCTGGTGTTGAACTTCAAGTCAGCATTGACTTTTTCAATAAATAACCACGATCTTTCCCTAACTGTAACCAAGTGCTTTAGTACATAATCACATAAATCAGGCTTTAGTTGCCAGGAGTGAATACTGTATGAAAAACTATTGAAATGGCAGTACCTGAGTTTGCAAATAGGCTACATAAACTATAAATGGTTCCTTGTTACTTTGAAAAAAAAAAAAAAAATGTAATCCAGGCAGCATACGTTTTCTACTTGTACATTATTTGCTAATGCATAGTAGCAGTACTGTGAATGTAAAGACATATACCCTTGTACACTGTAAAACCTGACAACATCTTAATAAAAGAAGTAAGTTAACATAACTTAATCCTCCAAAATAGTGCAGCAGTTTCATGATAGCAACTGCATTTACCGGGAGATGTGTGATACAGCTGCAAATCATTTACTCATCTGTGGTGTCAGTGTTATGCCTCCACTTCAGCTACAAACTATTTCTCTGATGTGGAAATGCGATGGGAGTGCATTAAGCAGTGCCCTTCCACAGTCCCCGGCTCCCGCAGGTAGATACAATGTGTTCATAATGTCACATAGCCTATAGAAATGTTTTGATGGAGGCTTCCTGGGGACCCAGCGGTCTAAGACGCTTAAGATGTAACTATAACGTCTCCAGTGGCTTTAGTGTGTTTGTGTATGTGTGTGAGACAGATTGAACATTTCTCTGTTTGATCTTAACTTTCTGTACAGTACAGTACAGTAGCTCCCTTCCCAGTGTGGTCAACAAGCTTTAGTCTGTGAAAGATGTGTGTGTGTGTGTGTGTGTGTGTGTGTGTGTGTGTGTGTGTGTGTGTGTGTGTGTGTGTATCTGTATGTGTATGTATGAAGTGCTGTACAATCAGAACCTGAAGGATTATTTGCAATTATTTGTATATATCCCATTTACAAAACAACAAGAGAACTACTGTTGAGCTGCACTGTAACCGTTATTTATCTATATTTAGTATTTAGCCATTTGTTCTTCCCAAACTACTTACAAACCAATTTGACCTGACATTGGCTTATCTTCCTCTCCCACCTGAGCCCTGTGCTGCACTGCTTACTTAATTTTTACCTCACATAACCCTTTTTACCTAACTCCAACTATCCTTGCCGCCACTCTGCTCCTCCTCTCTGTGCAGTCTCTCTCTGTCCTCATTCTGGGTCCCCTCTAGACTACAGATATGATTAAATAAATAAAAATATTTATGTGGATGAAAATCACTGCTGCTCTCTGTGTTTCAATCTATTCTGGAAGGTAACCTGTGCTGGTAACCCCTGTTGGCTGCTGTTTCTCGCCACTGTCTGGTTCTGTTTTAATCTTAAACCCCCCTCCCTGAGAAATATTTCCAATTCTCTTTAAGATACTGCCACTGACCACAGAGACAGGAAGTGTTGTTGCTATTATCAGGAAAGATACTAAATTATCCAGCAGTTACTGAAAATACAACTTGCTGTAAAACATCCTCTATATTTAGCAGATATTAGCTACAGCTCTAGCAGCTTCCACACATGAAGGCTCTAAGTACTCAACACGTCTGCATCCACTCGTGTGTTAGTGTCTTTGTCTGTTTTATTGGCATGTAATGACTGTTTATCTCTTGACATCACTGTTTATCTGCTGCCATTAACTTAAATTGCTGTCATGAGGCAGCGACATTACTGCAACATTAAGCTGCAAGAATGAACACCTGGCCGTTGGTGAGTACAGATAGCCAATGTGTTGTATGTGTGTGTGTGTGTGTGTGTGTGTGTGTGTGTGATCTGTGAGGCAATAATTGCATGGGCGCCTATGTGTGTAGCCCCCATAACAGTGACACAACCTGACAGACTTATAACAGCTGTGCATACTACTTTAAGACACACACACACACACACACACACACACACACACACACACACACACACACACACACACACACACACACACACACACACACACACACACACACACAGATACACACAGACACACACAGACATCCTACCAACTCAATTAGAAACACTACATTGCCCAGCAGCATCTGTTAATCTAATCACTACCACTCCATTAACCCCCCTGCCTCCCTGACCAAATCTGTACGATTACATCTGCTCCCCTCTCACACTGTGGCCCTGCAGAGGTGATGAATCAGGAGCCTCGAACGCTAACCTCTGTGTTAATGGTTAGCATCAAAGCTACATCCATGAAGGCAACAGTGCACATGAGGTCACACTTCAGATTGATATCACTCTTATGATTGTGAGCTACGTACATAAGAAGATGGAGCCTGGAGATGGTTAGCTTAGCTTAGCATAAAGACTGTAAACAGAGGGAAACTGCTAGCCTAGCATCTTGTCGTCACTGTGAGGTCGCCAGGCAACAAGAGGAAACCCTGGGAAGCCACTGCTCCCGCCCATTAAAGTGTAACTACACCCTCCAGTTCTACTAGCTCCCTCCCTCTCAGCAAATTAAAAAGATGCATTAAAAGACCTGCAAAGGACAGTCGCTCTAGGGGGCGTGGCTAACTGTCCGGTATGTGTGTGGGATTGTCAGTGTGGGATCAAGGTAACGATTGCAGTCCGTACAAGTCTGAACCACTGCGCTAGAATATAAAAATACTAAGTAGAGAGTTAGCAAAAACTAGCATAAACTCCTGTGAATGATGTGTCTCCATCAGTGTACATTGGAAAATGAGCGCAGCAGTTTGTACAGACTCCCATTTAAAGTGGAGGCTGTGGGAGGTGGGCGTTAGCACTGTTTTTTTATATAAATGCTGTGAATCGTAGCATTAGCCTTAGTAAATGTAAAGGGTGATTCGAAACAGTAGAGGGCGTGCTGATCCATTTTAAACCCACAAAATAATGTCATTTTTAATATCAGCATTGATGTGTGTTCCTCACATTATAGTCACATAATTCTGTTCACAGTTAAAAAAACACATCTTAGGGTGGTGTACCTCTTTAAATAGTGTGAAGGAGATGAGACATAGAGAGATATAGTTTTGCAAATGGCATGATGTGACGAATCAATAAATATTTGTTCATTAGTAGTGTGTATTAATGAAGTGTCTTGGTTAAGGTTTAGTCAAAGCTGACATGAATCAGTGCTGAACCCTTTCAAGGAGTGCTGCGGACACATCGCGTGCCGTCGTAACACGTGCGGACCACAACATGAAAATCTCACGTAAATTAGCTCAAAATCGCCACGCAGTGCTTACTTCCTGTTGCCAGTAGGTGGCGTTATCACTATGTCTGAATGTTGTCATGTAGACATGTTCAAGGCAAGAGTGTTATCAAACATGTGAAGTTTCATTGAGATTGGATCACGTACGCTGAAGTTATGAGGATGTGTTCAGGGCAAAACTGTTTCAGAAAATATGAAGTTTATTGGAGATTGGACATTGCACTCTGAAGTTATGAGCACTATTTTATGGCGAATCTGCTGAAATCGACAAGTTGTCACTGGCACGCGGTTTGACGCACAGTCTCAAATAGCACAACTTTTAATCAGCACCATTTTTTGACTGTACTTACCAACTTTGAAGTAGATCCGATAAATTCCCTAGAAGGACTTCGTTCATATACAACTCAAAAAATCACAGAAAATGACCAAAAAAATCAAAATGGCTGACTTTGATGCCATGCCACGGACTCGCCCTTTAATGTACATGCACAAATAGCGCAACTTATAATCAGCACCATTTTTTGACTGTACTCACAAATTTTGAAGCATATCTGATAAATTCCCTAGGAGGAGTTCGTTCAAATACAAGGCGAAAAATTCACCGAAAATGCGCACAGAATTCACTATGGCCAACTTTGAGGGCACGCCACAGACACGCCCTTCAACGTACATGCACAAATAGCACAACTTTTAATCAGCACAATTTTTTGACAGTATACACAAATGTTTAAGCATATCCGATAAATTCCCTAGGAGGAGTTCGTTCAAATACAACGCGAAAAGTTCGCCGAAAGTGAAAATGAAAATCCAAATGGCTGACTTCCTGTGGGGTTTCGGGTATGGGTCCAAGAGGCTTTTTTGTACGTCCCAGTATGTTACACGTGCCTACTGAGTTTCGCACATATCGGTGAAACGTGGCTCCGGGGCTGCAGTTTTTTTATCCTGTAGGGGGCGCTACACACACGACAAACCCGATTTTTGGTATGTGAGCTACAGGCACCACTCTACATGTACCCTGTGAATTTCATATTCATAAGTATTATGGTCTCTGCACAGTGAGTTATCATGCCAAAAGAGCGCCACCTAGTGGTGTATATTTTTGTCCTTTTTGAATGAGCCTCAGGGAGCCATGGACAACCATCGTACCAAGTTTCATTTTAATCACACGTGCCGTTGCAGAGATATAAACTTCTTCATTTTAAAGAGCGCCACCTAGTGGCGATGACCTGAAATTGTGCACGATGCCTAAGAAAGACATGAGTAACTATGGATCCAAGTTTGGTGTCAATCGGACATAGCAATGTGGAGAAATAGTCCACTTCCCTTTTTGACGAAAAATCCACAGGAAGTGTTAATTTTATTTTTTTTAAGGTTTTTGAATGTGCGACAAACTATGCAGAAGTTATTAGCCTAAACGCATTTTTTATGATAGTAGCGCCACCTAGTGGCCAACCTGAAAGCAGCGCATAGAATATCCCCATTTTCAACAGGCCAGACAACTTTGCCAAATAAAATTGAGTTTTCGTATATGTTCAGG